TCTTTTGTTAGGCCCTTTCGGTCCAATGAGATCATTTCGGAGCCAGAAGGACGATTGGAATTCGGGGGAGCCAATGGTCTGGGCAGGCACCAGGTTAAGTCGCCGGGGCTGAGCCCGTCCGTAAGGACAGGCCACACAGCCTCCAAGCACTCCCTGCACCCGGCTACAAGTGACTCCCTCAGAGACTGCGATGCGCTCCAAGGGAGCAGCCCGCATGGGATAAAGTTGCCTGACCTGTCTGTCCAGCCTTGAACAGGGTTGCGGCGTCACTGCGTGGATGACAAGGATTTCAGTATTATGAGGATAGATACGACGGAACGGGTGGGGCGAAGCGCGTCTTCTCAATGTCACGGAAAAATCTCAGTATGAGCGGCCCAATCCGGCCCGGCCCGACCCAGCCTGTTGTGCTTTTGAGAGGCATACAACTCAGCAACCGCTGGGCCGATTGATCTGCGGTCTTTTTTGTTGGCGACGGTTCTAGATCTCGAGAACGACTGGGCCGACTGTGCTCAAATTTGGTACGCAATTAGGGACCGGTTGGTAGGGTGCCGCGCAAAAGCCACTTTGGACCCAGATTGCACGTGCGCACGTGTAGGATGCCGCCTTCAGATCTCGAGAACGGCTGGGTCGATTGCCTTCAAGTTTGGCACACCGCTAGTGACCGGTTAGTAGGGTGCCGTGCACAAGCCAGTTGAAAGTACCCTCTCGCCTTTCCGCACGTGCAGGGTTCTCTCTCTCTCGCTCGCTTGTTAACCGCCCCCAAAGGCGTCTTACTGGTAACATTGTACCTAATCGGTGATTTATGGCGCTCAACGCAACTCGGACCATCACCAAAACGCACACAAAAATAAAACCCATATTTTCTCCAAAACAAAGACAAAAAAAAATCCATGTTTTCTGTCATGCAAAAAATTTACTTAATAAACATGTAAGTGATATAACAAAAAACAATTATCATAAACACACCAAAACCAGGCAACAGCAGTATGGGGAAGTGTTTCGCTAAATAAGAGAAGATGCATTAACGTCTTTTGTCTAAATCGTAGACAGCCGCACCCTTCTAAACGGCATCCAAATGTCAGCTACAGACCTAAATACATTGCCCGTGGGGAAAAAAAACTAAAAAGAGAGGCAAATGAATGAACCCAGGAGAGCCGAGAGGATATTGAACGAATGAGTGAATGAATGAATGAATGAATGAATGAATGAATGAATGAATGAATGAATGAAGAATGCTGATTGATTGATTTACTGATTGAATTAATGGAAGATGATTAGTGAATGAATGAGGCTGAAGTTTGAACAAATGAACTGATAAAGTCGAATGAATGAATGAATTAATGAATGAATCTATAGATAGAGGATAGATAAAGGAATGAAAGTAGGGCGTTAAATCAGGCTCCCCATCCCACCTATGCATCCGACAGGCGTACCTGGCCAAGTTTGGCTGGGTGAGCCCGACAGAGAGCCGGTTCGGATCGCTGCAGTCGCTCTCCTCCAAACTGGCCGAGTTTCAACAGTTCGCCGGTCTGCCCGTCACCGGTCAGTGAAGTATGCGCATTTACTCGGATCTTCCTCAGGAACGTTGGAATTTATATGACGCGATATTCATCTTTTATCGTCACAAAGTTCGTCTCCATATAACATAACTCTCACTAAAGGTGGCACAAGAGAAGTGCTATCGGCACAACCGTCTTGCTGAATGTCACGAAATTACGCTACGCACACTCATTCTGATGGGACCGCTAGACGATGTTACATGGAGCCGCTGCAGACCTCAGGGTGACCTGGCCGGATCTGACCTGATCTGACCTGCACACAGGGGTCATGGATGACGCCACGGTGGCTAAGATGCAGCAGCCCCGCTGTGGAGTTCCCGATAAGGCGGCCCCGCTCAAACGGCAACGTCGCAGGAAACGGTACGCCCTTCAAGGTGAGGACGACGATTGAATAGCGCGACCCAGGTCACGGTACGTGAGGATATCGATTATAATTCGAAGTGAATTGGTCACCACTGCACCAGTCAAAATACTAATGGATACTCATTATTTGCAGCTTTGAACTAACTATATGCAATGTATGTCCCTTTTTTAGCGAGTACGACAGCATGCTTGTTTGAATCATACATATCGTCCCGGTGCGTTTCCATGAGCACAGGGTCCAGATGGAGGAACAAGGCCTTGACGTACAAGATCGTCAACTGGCCCAAGAACAGGGACCGTGAGCTGACACGGAAGGCCATCAGTGACGCCTTCCAGGCATGGGCGGACGTCTCCGCGCTGACCTTCACGGAGATCGCCGCGTCCACCGACAGCAAGGCAAACATCGACGTCAGGTGAGACTGACTTCATCGACTTCAGCGTGTCTTGCTTGCAGATCCGACGATTATATTATGCAGAACATCCCAGCTACCAATACAGGTATCAGTTGCCAGTCACCACTTCCTGTAGCATTCGCCGCTGAATCAACGCAGTAGTCGCTTCGGACAAAATGGGTTCTTGGAGCACGGTCTTATGCACTTCATTGACGCTTCTCAGATTCGAGTATGGTGATCATGGAGACGGCGACGCCTTTGACGGCCCCGGCGGCACGCTGGCGCACGCCTTCTTCCCCATTTACGGCGGCGACGCGCACTTTGACAAGAGCGAGAGCTTCATCGTGACGCCCGGCGGCCGGAACGGCGTGGACCTGTTCACGGTGGCGGCGCACGAGTTCGGTCACAGCCTGGGTCTGGCGCACAGCGAGGTGAACGACGCGCTGATGGCGCCCTTCTACCGTCCGCCCGGGGTCAACCGGGACATCATCAAACAGGACGACATCAAAGGCATCCAGGTGAGATGTGGGTGTGTGAGTGAGCGAGCGGCGATACGTGTACGAGTTTCCGAACAGTCCTTGGCAGAAACAATGAAAATGTCGTTTATCGTTACGGAAATCTCATCTGATTGACAGTCGCCGCAGTGTTAATACCCAACAGAAATAAAGTGCTAGGTGGTGAATGAACGATTGCCCACTTCCGCTGACTGTTGACATAACAAGCCATGCGACGCCGAGTCTTGATAAGGACCAAAGGGACGCATGCTCTCTGGCCAACAGATCCCACATTCGTCGTGAATTCTGTAATGAGAACTCCACTCCGCGATACGCGTGTATCCACGCCTCCACTTCCTCTGTCCACAGAGCATGTACGGTCCGCCCGAGGAGCAGCCTGATCCGGCGCCGGACACGGGCGGACCCCCGGACACAGACTTGGGCGGGGGCGGTGACGGGGGCGGCGGTGACGAGACGGACGGGGAGGACGGCGACGGGAGCGAGGTGGACGCCCGGGAGTCCGAGAACGCCGCGCTCTGCGAGGACAGCTCCGTGGACGCCATAATCACTGTGTCGGTGAAGCCCGGCCGCGAGACGTACGTCTTCAAGGGCGGCGACTACTGGCGGCTGACGGACATCGCCGTGGCCGAGGGCTACCCGCAGAGGATCGCCGACCGCTGGGGCGGCCTGCCGGACGACCTGGACGACGCCATGGTGTACACCCCCAGACGGAACTCCAAGGAGCTGGTCTTCTTCTTCAAGGTAGGTACAACGAGTTTTAGTGGAGGATGGCGCTTCTTTGCCTCAACATTATAAGAGTTAACATTATTAGGGAAACATAGCAACTGACAGGAGACGAGGATATAAGTAAAATCGACCAGTTGTGTATGACAATTTGCTAATCGGTTGACATGACGATTATCAATCAAACTATCTCCCTAACATACTAAGCACGGTTGACATTTCTCTTTCATCCCTCTATAGGGAGACAAGGTGTGGCGGATGACCAACCTGCCCACGGTGGACGAGGGATACCCAAAACTCATCTCGGAGGAGTTCCAGGGCATCCCGAACGACATCGACGCAGCGTTCACGTGGAAGCGAAACAAAAAGATCTACTTCTTCAAGGGTGACCAGTACTGGCGGTTTGACTACGAGGCTGCCAAATCTGGTGGCCAGGGTGTTAGCGATAAATACCCGCAGAATATTCGCGTGTGGAGAGGACTACCGGGCAACCTGGACACTGTGAACACGTGGAAAAACGGCAGGACCTACTTCTTCAAAGGGGGGTCCTACTACAAAATACGAGACCGACCTTTGAGGGTGAGTGGGGGTCGACCAGATGACGTTTTGTTTAAACCAGATGACGCATTGTTTTCTTTATTCATCCACCTAAAAAATGTCACTCAGTATTCTCAGTAACCATTTATCAATAAAGCAGTGACTGAGGTGCTAGATATCCTAAAAAATATAATTTCAGTCGCATATTTCACTTTTGAAAAGTTGAAGTGTAATTAAAAAAAGAGAAGCAACATCACTTGCGATAAAGCTCTTTTACCTCACTTCGCACTAAGTTCCAATTAAATTAATTGGAAAAATTAATCAGCGTTAATTTTTCTCGTTCTCTGTCGGTTCGCAGCTGACCAGCGTTCACCGTGAACCGGGCGAGTGGTGGTTCAGCTGACGATTCCATATCCCCTCAGTGAACCCCTCTGACGGCTTCCTGTCCCCTCAGTGCACCCCTCTGACGGCTCCCTGTCCCTCAGCGCACCCCTCTGACGGCTTCCTGTCCCCTCAGTGCACCCCTCTGACGGCTTCCTGTCCCCTCAGTGCACCCCTCTGACGGCTTCCTGTCCCCTCAGTGCACCCCTCTGACGGCTTCCTGTCCCCTCAGTGCACCCCTCTGACGGCTTCCTGTCCCCTCAGTGCACCCCTCTGACGGCTTCCTGTCCCCTCAGTGCACCCCTCTGACGGCTTCCTGTCCCCTCAGTGCACCCCTCTGACGGCTTCCTGTCCCCTCAGTGCACCCCTCTGACGGCTTCCTGTCCCCTCAGTGCACCCCTCTGACGGCTTCCTGTCCCCTCAGTGCACCCCTCTGACGGCTTCCTGTCCCCTCAGTGCACCCCTCTGACGGCTTCCTGTCCCCTCAGTGCACCCCTCTCACCACCCCTCTCTATCGGTTCGCAGCTGACCGGGGGGTACCCTCGCAATACGGGTGAGTGGTGGTTCGGCTGTCCGGACAACCAGGGGTCCATCCACCAGCAGCAGCCGGCCGCCAGCCAGCAGCGGGGAGACATTTCGGCCGACGAGACATACCGAGACACAGGTGAGACACACAGAGACATACCGAGACACAGGTGGGACACACAGAGACATACCGAGACACAGGTGAGACACACAGAGACACCGAGACATACTGGGCTATACTGAGACATACCAAGACACAGGTGAGGCATACCGAAACACATTGAGACACAGGTGAGACATGCCGAGACACAGGTGAGACATACTGAGACATACCGAGACACAGGTGAGACAATCGACAGGCGGTGGTCACTGCTGAAGAGATAAAGCATGAGGTAGCGATATGCCGACACAATGGCTGCACAGTGCACGCTAAACAACACTGCCAATGTACGCTTGATGACAGCTCGTCCTGACTAGCCTAATTTTAGTTGAACCTATGTATTGCACCGCAAGCTCATGTCATGCTATCAATAGCACGACAAGAAATGTGGTTTATCGGCAAAACGGCATGGAAAGTGAGTATTTAGGTCCGCTTTAACACGAAAAAAAAATCTCTAAGCACCGATCACACAATAGTGTAGCGAGACTGCTTTGAAAATGGCTCCATTTGCGCAGCTCGGAACTTGTGCTGAAAAATGCATGGGTCACCCAAACTGCATGTCTGAGCATAATTTCGTCAGTTATTCAAACTGACCCTTATGTAGCATGAAGGTTACGACAAGACAAGGCAAGAAAATAAGTAAGACAGTACAAGAAAATTGTTTTATGGAATCCGTGAACCCGCTTAATTAAATTGCTGAATCGACGAATAATGCATTGCACGTCCCTATTAGAACTGCATGCCAGTCTGGTAGTTTTGGCCTGTGCCCTGTGGATTTGCTACAGTCTATTAATTGCCATGACCGCTTATCTTTTAAATTCCCTGCCCTTTTGAGGCGTCAGTCATAATTAAATCCCAGTCCGACATATCTGTATAAGTTATTGGTCTCCACCATGTGCCCGACACTAGCACCTGGGAATCGATGGCAGACATCCGTGCCGAAATGGCATGAGTCGTACCCGTGAGGTACTGGGGAAAATCAATGCGGCCATGCAGTGGGCTCCATGCACTGTTACCGACCATGGCCTCAGAAATGAAACTGTATTTACCGAGTGCTGCAGAAGGCGGGAGCCAACACTTTACCTGCAAAACAACTGCTATTGTCCTATTGGGAAACTATCCCTTCATATGAATAATGTAGCAGGATGATTATATCTACGCAAAAATTAACCCGCGCCCTGCTGGGGGGGGGGGGGGTGTGTTTGCGCCGCCGTTTTTGGTACACCTTATCATACATCAATTCTACACATGTTGTGAAAATTTCAGACCAAGGTCATTCAAGGTCAGGTCACCAGGTCACTTGAAGTGACCTCACCTCATAAAAAGTTTCAATGTCTGTCATAGCTACACCGAGTGACCGATCGCTTTGAAACTTTCAGCGATTGCTAAGAGCAATAGCATGTACAAAATGTATATCTCAGAATTTTGATATCGATGACCTAAGGTCAGGTCAATTTTGCGACCTCCCCATTATAAGTCAATGGGAGAAAATTGAAATGCGCCTCTTTTGGACGAAAGACATTATAAACACTCCCAAACACCGAATTACAAGTGGTTTAGACACACTGAACATGAAAATGGTGTCCGTGACCCTTGTTTATGCCCTGAGGTCATCTTAGGTCTCGAATGGTATCTAACAGTTTTTCGCAAATAACTTTTGATAGAGGCATGCTAGAGCGATGAAAACGCCTTAGATGTGTTCAGCTAGACGATACGGATCGACTGATATGCAACATGACCCTTTCCGGTCAGGGCATGACCTTGACCTGAGGTCAAATTTTCAAGTTGACCTTTCAAGGTCAAGTTATAGTTCATACGATCCGTCTTGACGAGAGGAACACGATACTGGTAAAAGTAAGCTCGTATAAGGCTTGGGTCAAAAGTTATTGCAGAAAAACTGCTTCCGAAAAAAATCGGCTATTTTTGCAGTTTTTGCCCCCTGCAGGCAAAACCGTTGACGGTAGGTCAAATCTGAGAAAATTACTCAGAAAGGGCGTTAATAGGGCTATCGAATGCGCTTTTCCGCGGCGCTGTAGCTTATTAGTTCCCGAGTTATGCGTTGGCTTCTTGGAAATTTTCGACATTCGATCTGGAAATCGGCGAAATTTTGCCTTCAATGACCTCTGGTGACCTGACCTTTGACCTGACCAAAAAATTGACCGAAGTGATTTCGTCATTATTTTTGACGCTCTTTCGAACGCCGCCTTCCGCGTATCGCTACGTGGCCCAGGAGCCGAGTTAAAAGGGGGGGGTTCAAACACCCCCCCCCAGCAGGGCGTGGAAATCCAGGACCTCCAGCCGGGCGCGGGTTAATTAAACACTAAATTCACACTAATGTTACTCAGAAACGGCAGCAAATCATACGAGTCAAGCAAATCAAATCATAATATTGTTATGGGGATGTTTTGTAAACAAACTCCTGGCTGGGACCTGTGGCTGGGGCGATGGGACCTGTGGGACTGGCGGTGGGACTGTCGGCCACCGGAGCGGGACGCTGAGTGACGTCAGCCCTTGCTATGACAACCGCCCCAACAAAGGGTAACAGTCCAGCCGTCGGCGGCCCAGTGTCGCCCCCCCCCCCCATGTCGGCCGATTCAGGTCGAGGACGGTGCTGCAGGGTCCGCCGGACAGTGCAGGTGTTACAGGTCAAATGTAACACGGGCACGCTACTCCCCACGGTCCAGACGGCCGCGGCCAACTACGGGCATCGCTCAGTGTAAATGAATGTAAGCAAATGTACGCACATAACGCTGAATGAATGGAGTTCCGGTTCCCGGCCTGGCTTGCAAGGTACGTGCCCTATTCGTTGATTGTATGGATCCAAATTTCTGTCACAAATCAAGCCAGTTTGAGTCAGTAAAGTTCGCTCACAGAAAACCGTTCAAATCGAAACGATAACGGGGCAGTGCTGCTCTTTAGCCGGCGTAATTTCCGCGTACCCTAACGTTTCTGTAATTTGAATGGGCGTGTGGCCCTCTATATTCTGCTCCCCTCCCGTTTCACTAGCTCGGGCAACATTCCACACAAATGGCTCCATTCCCCGATGAGCGGAGTGCCCTGCAGGGGGAGTGGGGTCCGTTCCAGTTCGGTGCTCCCGGCCCGGTGTGACGGATGTAACGGAAACTGCTGCGTCACGCCGACAGCTGTCACGCAGCGGTAGCGCGGCATCACTTTGACGCGGTTACAGGACTGTCACTGATGTAACGACGATGCAATATGATTAACGGTCACCTGCTGAAAGCTCAAATTGGTTACATGACGTTACTCAAATAAAACATAAGAAGTCATATGCAAGTTGAGAGCGATAAACACAAAGTAAGCTGGAGATAAACGAGGGACGTCTTAAAATGACAGCCAACGATAACAGAACTCGGATACCATAACGTTATTCTTCAATATAAACGTCATATAATGGCTGGAACCAGCAATGCCTGGCCACTTTAGACCATTTCATTGCACGCCTTTCATCATTTCAGTCATCACTCAATCCATTTGGCAGGGGTCACCCAAGTCCACATAGCTCCATGTGCGCCCCGCATCCACTCTAATAGGCAAGGGCCTCTCCAAGTACAGGCCTACCACCGGACGGCGTGCTCTAATACCATCCCGTGCCAGAACCACACAGAGGCTGACTGTGTCTCTGCCGAGGGCCCTGCGATCGTGACCCAGAGTCCGGGACGTATTCGGCGCAGCGGCCACGTTTACCCGACTGCGTCAAACAGGGGCGCTATCACAACAAACGCGCCGCGCCACGCCGCCGAGAGCCGGAGAGGACGTGCGGCGGTCCTGGCAGTAGAGATTAGAAATAAGGAGAGGTGATCTTACATACGCACATGTCTACATTAGGCACTGGCAGTGGCCGACGCGATGGTTTTACCAAGCATGACGGGAAGCTTTACGCTTTGTAGAAGACTGTCGCAGCTCTCAGGGTAAATGGGTGAAGTTTATGGATCAGCAACTAGCGGTCTTTCGGAGTGCGGATTGGAAACTCTGCCAAGCGGTCGCTATTCAGTGAATGGCATGGGCGATGTCCTGCAATGTTGAACGGTGCATGTTTATGAAATATCGACTACCTGAAGGCCTCTGTAATGATCTTTTGTGTTGGACCATCGCCATTGTACTGCAATGGTTCCTTGTGTTTTGAAGCTTTCTGTTGATACTCTAGTCGGCGAAATTTGTGTGTTTGATAAGCGCATGCCATTTTTGTTTTGTTTTTCAGACAGAGTCGCCTCCATTTATTTTTCAAGCCACATAACGACTTGAGTTACGTTTGTTGCACGTAAGTTACGTTTACTTTTGTTCTTATTTTCTCGCATGTTGTCGGTTCACGCTCAGCAACGTTAGTTTAGCTTATATGAGCCAGTTTTTATGACTTTCCATTGCTAATGAGAAGCTGCATTTGCATGATATTTACTGTATGGCCCACAACAACCTCGTGCCTTGCAGGGTACTCACAAATTACGTTGTCCTGCCAACTGCAAACAACCGCTCGGTTCTGAGCCATCCTGTGAGCTGCCATAACTCAGGGCCTTCCACACTTAACCCGCGACCTGGTGGGGGGGGGGGCTATTTTTTGCCCCCCCCTCCAGACTTTTCAATATATCTCCAGAACCGCTGCGCCGATCGTCACCAAACTTTCAGTACCCTCCCGGACATCAATTTTACACATTGTGACCAAAAATTTTCCAAAAGCTATGATAGGTTGGCCGGAAATGACGTCAGAGTGACGTCATGTTCTGCCGTTTTCGACCCAAAAAAGGGTTTCGCGGGAAGAGCTGTCAGGCCTATAGCTTTGCAAATGCAGAAAAATGTTTAGGATATAAAAGCTGTAGAATTGACAGGGCTACAAAACTGCTATCTCGGATTTTTGAATTTTTTTTTATTTTGACCCCCAAAAATCAAAAAAAATTTTTCGGATATAATAGTCAAAAAATCCAAAAAGTTTTTTGAATTTCGCAAAAACCGGAATATATGTGATAGTCCTTACCACCTTCCATCCACATACCAAATTTTAGATTGATACCTCTTTTTTTGGCGAAGTTATAGCGAAAAAACTGTTCAAAATTGATGACGTCAAATTTTCAAACTCAATTTTTAGCAATTCTAGACCTCGTAGTGCAAAACAAAGACCACCATTAGACTCCCCGTGACGAGCTGCATCGAATTGATACCCATTTTATGCAAAAATATCAACTTTGAAATTTGACCTTTTTTGACCTGACCTTGACCTGACGTCCACCAGAAAGTGACCTAAACCGTACCTGATGGTCTTATAACCAACACCATTGGGTTGGAAATGAAAAACTGGCCATAAAACATGCATCGCACAACCTTAGTAAAGTTGGGTTCATGTGGTGACCCTTGGTGACCTTTGGTGACCTGACCTGTGACCTGACCTGGTATGACCAGTGACCTCTAATAGCAACATATGTACTAGACAACTGACGTCTTATCGCTGATTTTCGACAAAATGCGTTTTACTCGGTGTTATAGCGCTTTCCCTAGAAGCCCCGTGAACGGTGAAACATTTTATCTTTGACCTGACCTGTGACGTCATCGGTGACCCCGAGGTCAATAAAATTTGGTTTCCCTCAACAAATTTGACAGGGCTATCGAACGCCGTTTGAATTTTGCGGATCCGTCCAGTAGTTTCGGAGATACGAGGGGGGGGGGGCAAAAAATAGCCCCCCCCCCCACCAGGTCGCGTTATAAACGGACCCCACCAGGGCGCGGGTTAATGGCCGTTCTCGTCTTCCCGATGTGCTGTTATATTCCGTTCAGGATAGACAGTGATATTACATAAAGTTCACCTACTGTCCCGTGTCTTCTGTATGCATAATTGTTCCCATTACCCTGACCTGTGCCGCCCAGTTATAGGGCACAGGAAGTGCCGACTGCCGCTGTTTCGTCCTCCATACTCGGCCCCTGACGTTATGCCGTTGTGCCCAGTTATAGGGTACAGGAAGTGCCGCTGTTCTGTCTATACCCGTCCCCTGACACCATGCCGCTGTGCCCAGTTATAGGGTACAGGAAGTGCCGCTGTTTCGTCCTCCATACTCGGCCCCTGACGTTATGCCGTTGTGCCCAGTTATAGGGTACGGCGAGGGCGACACGCAGCCGCGGTACGGCGGCTCGGCGGGACTCACACGGCCGTCTGAGGTGCTCGCCAGCCTGCTGCCGCCGCTGCTGGCAGTTCTGGCAGCGAGGCAGCTCTGAGACGGCTGTATGTGGGTGACACAGCAGCCTGCTGCTGCCGCTGCTGGCAGTCCTGGCAGCGAGGCAGCTCTGAGAAGGCTGTATGTGGGTGACACTGCTACAGCCGCCACAGCTACCTCGGTACCAGCGCCGGCCGAATGTATCAGCAGCCCGCGACCGGCCGGACAGACGCATACCCCCCGTGATCCGTTCAGAAGCAGCTACTGCAGAGAACAACCGTCAGTCCTCGACAGGATGAGCTACTGACCACAAATTTCAACGGTTCAGGCGCTACAGGTTTCACCCATCACCACCTGAGGGACAGTGCGTGTCCATGTGACCTTCGATGGGTTCTGACACCTCCTGCTGTGGTCACCGAGATGATGTTACCGGCGTGTTTTCCGCTAGTATCCCCCGGCTATAGGTCAGCACAGCCGCGGGCCGCCGGCAGCGACGGACCACTCGGAAAGCACGCGCCCGGGGCGGAGGATGGCGCGCCGGGGACTGAGCCGCCCCGGGTCGGGGTCAGGGTCAGAGCGGGACGGTCAGATACCGACCGATCGGTGGTCAGGATCCGGGAGTCCCAGGACGGCCGTGTCAAGGTCTGAAGGAGTCGGTCTGGATATCACTGGGGTACATAATGATTAGGGCAAGTTGTTCGCAAAGCAGAACGGCGCGGTGTCATTATTCATACAACGGGGTTAGCCCACGCACTTGGTCGGTGTGTTACGGCAGTGCTTGGTGGGCCTTGAGTTTCCGTAACTTGTGTTTCATTTCATGTTCTGTATAAGTATGCTGGGAACAGTTTTGCTCTGGAATTTTATGTTATTTATTTCAAGCGATGGAGGCGCTCCTGTTTAGTCCTCAGCAGTTCAGCTAAATGGCCAGGGAAGGGGAGCAGTCAGCACAGACTGACTGAGCCTGTTATGTATGCCTTATATAGTCGCACAGCTCTGTGATAGCCAAGTGCCTCACCGTCGGACGTCCAGTGTTGTTTGTGCCGTATGTGTAAAGTACACCTACATAACGTGGCAGCGGACACGGTGCCTTGCTGTGTTGCATTGATACCCTTCCTATTGATGCAAAACACTAAAATATAATGCGTGCGATTAACGTCGGGTGCGAGGTTTGTGGCACAGTCGCCTGAGTCATGCCCACCTGAAATAATTAAACATTATATTTTGTTTATACTGATTGCATTGCAGCTATAAGTACGGCTATCGCCTCGTTTATACATACTAAGCAAATAGACAGACTGATGCCATTTCAGCTTGTATACTGCTTCTGGTGTTAAGGCATACATGTGCGTACTTTAACCTATTATTACGTTAACCTGACGTGTTAAAATGGTGATGTTTGTTGTTATGTCGATTCACCAAATATATTTAGTGTCAGTTACTACAAAGCATGTCTCGTTTATATTTACAATGTCTTGTATAGTCTACCAACCTTCATGCAAAAGGACAATAATGCTTAAAATTGACCGTCACCGTGAAATGAATATGAAAAACAAAAGCACAACCATTGTGTACCCTGTCCGCTGAAAAGAAACAGCTTGGTTTGGAGAGAGAGAGAGAGAGAGAGAGAGAGAGAGAGAGAGAGAGAGAGAGAGAGAGAGAGAGAGAGAGAGAGAGAGAGAGAGAGAGAGTGAGAGAGAGTGAGAGAGTGAGTGAATGAATGAGTGAATGAATGAATGAATGAATGAATGAATGAATGACTGAATGAATGAATGAATGAATGAGTGAGGACCGGTACTCATCGTCCTCCTTCCCGGAGCGTGAGTACTGAGTACATACCATCACCCATCCACTCTAGTTATTTACTAACTGCGATGTCACGGATTCGCTGGCCGAGATGCCGTCATTTTCCAAATTGTTCTGCAGACAGTTTATGCACCAGAGGAATCGAGAAGGGCCTTCCCCGAAGCTTGTCTAAATGTCTAGCCCTAGTCTAATCGAGATCAGCCCCGGTCAGGTCAGACCAATCACTGTCACGTAGAGGTCTGTAGAACACGATATGAAATCGGCCACCGTCACCGTACCGCGAAATGAAGAAAAAGAAAACTACGCAGGCTCACGCTCCACGCTTAGGACGTTCCTGCAGTAAACAGCGGTGGTCAGGGTATTTCCCCGTAAAAGTTTATGAAACCGCGCAGGTATGTCGGCATCTGTGTGTCTGCAGCCAGTGCGTGGTTTGTGGCTCGAGAGACTCTGGGAACGGGTTCGGTCCAAACAGTTCTCAGAACGGCGACCGGACCGAAGCGACGTGACCAGCAACGGAACGATCCTCGGCGCATAAAATATCGACGGGTGGAAAACGGTCGCCGGGCTGGCTTCGAGTGGATGCTGAATAACACATCCCATGGCGTTCAAAACTGACAGGCAGTTGGCTGACGACAATATCACCGTCAGACGATTTCAGGCAAATAGACCAATGAATTGATAATCATGGACGTTGTTTATTGTAGGCATAAAACAACTCTGTTACCACCGTCCAAACGGTCGGCAGCCAGCGGGTCTCACCATTCAACATATGGGGTCGGTACCGCTCCCCCTATCGATCCCATGCGTGCATGGCGCGGCGCCGTGCCGTTGACCCTACACCTCCTGTGGATCGTTCGTACCGCTCCAGTGCCAATGGCAGCGGCCGTGGCAGTGGCACTACCGCGACCCCGTGGGACCCCGATCGACCCGACCGCGCCCTGCCCGGTCAGACGCGACCGGCCGCTCTTATGACGTCACCACAAACAGCTCGATGGTCGGCGCATTCAGGCGGTTGTTAGGAGGTGGTACGGTAAAAACGGCTGTCCGCGACCCCCAGCCAGGGGACTGGGAGGGAGGGGGGGGTTACCCCAGCGGTCGATGTGACCGTTCATAGCGTCAGGCAATGGGCACCGCCGCGAAGACACAGCGGTTACAAGGAAACGGGTGAGAGACACGCTTCAGAAAAGAGGACGTGACGACTCACTAATAACCTACATTTTCTGTTGCATCTATAGACCGTATAAAGGGTAGCGGGCCACGTCCTGCCCGGTTGAGAGGTCGGGAGTGAGGCACCCCGCTGGTTTCTGTAGTGGTAGCGATGGCAGCCCCGCTGGCCGCTGCACTGAGGCACCTGGCGACGGCGGCGGTCCCGCGGATTGTCACTCAGCAGGGCTCACTACGGCAGGCACACCCACCGCTGACCAGACCCGGAGCCAGGCAGCTGGTGGCAGGGAGCACGTTTGGACGCAGAGGCAAGTGTCATTCCACTTGTTAACTATATTACTGAAGTTTATGAGAGACAGGATAGGATCCCATTGATATGAAAAACTAAAACGATTCCCACTGTTTTTACCAAACGGCATCATTTTTCATTCGCTTGGAGGGCACATTACGGCCCATTGTGCAGCGTCCGTTACCAATTCATTACATTCATTCAATCGCACTTTCACTTGATAAAGAGCTCCTGTACCGGATTTCATTTAGCCCTTTATCAGCCTCCGATGTTTCGGCGTATTAGTTCGGCACTCGGTTTTGACAGACTGAGTGACGAGGCTGAGCTAAAGAGCTCCATCGAGGCAAACAGTCCTTAGCAGAGCCGACGTTCCGCACATCGCCAAACTTTGCCACAAAGCTGAAACTCGTATATACGTAGGCAGCTTTTAAGCACGGTGACTATAAATACTTTTAAGTACAGCGCAAAGCGATCAAAGCAGCAAAGCACCCATTGAAGCTAGCAGCGTGAGCGCTTGCTTAGCGTAGCAATCATATGGTGCAAGTGGTAACGCTTGTGGTTTCGCGATACCATCAATTTGATACAGGAACTGCTCAAGTGCTCAAGGAGCTTTTAACTTTGTTCCAAGCCGAGTGAGCGCTTAGTACCTAAATGTCGTCTTCCAACGGGCTTGCTGGCAGGAATGGTTTTAAGTATCGTAGGTATGCTGTTTTTGCGCTGGGCAATTAGCCTGATTGGATTATTATGAAATCGCCCGGAAAAATACCCGCAGCAACGGGCCGTTATTATTCTCCTGCATAAAACATAGACAATACTGCGATCGCCGATCGCGTCCGTCTTATCAGCGCCAATCGGTTAATATGCACTATGCAGGATCGCCTAACGTGTGCGTGACGGAGCTTAACAGCTAGACCCCAGGTTATTTTTTTTTCAGAACATTGTGGAAAAATGATTGACGAGGTGTCATTGCAATGGTGAGCCTTCGTTTTGGTAGCACTGAAACATATCTGGTTTCATTGAATGTTTTCGCATAGCCTCATTCCCTTTTTGTTTACTTTCATTCCTGTGCAGAGTGCCAGGGAAATTGCTTCCCATTGCTAATAGTAATAGGTGTTTGTGTTGCTGGACTAAGGCGACACTGGACAGTAGTAACCGCAAAAAGTATAGAAACAGTTACGCGGCCTTTTCTTGCTCTTCTTAAAAGCAAAATGAGTATTATTGCTGTTATCACAAACAATAACAGGTCGATAACAGACCACACACATAACCGATAGGGTCCCCCGTCCGCCCGATATGAAAACCGCATTACCGGTGGAAGCGGCCTTACCATCGGCAATACAGAACATTGGCCATCATGTCGTTGTTGAGTACAGCACCAGGATGTGGCTTCCTAGCCCAGGGCACCGGTATCCACGCAGCGCCGTGCGGCGTGTTCCTACCATCAGCGCATCCACCAGCCCCAATCTCGGTCCGGTAACCACTGGGCACTGACCGCCGACCGCCCGGGGCCGAGTCGACGCGACGGGGACAACAAATACCACCTGGGGCTCCGGTGAACCCACAGCCATGCTCAACTCCAGTCCCAGGTCACACCGTCAGTTGGGGTACGGTACGGTATTCGCGGCGCGGCGTGACCATTGTTCCGACACGGAGCGGCGTATCCCGATCAGTCAGCCGGGAAAACCCGTCTGTGCGCCGGCATACGCTCAAAATGCCTTGCTCCACACTCATTCTCTGACACTGCGGGAAAGGGCACGAGCGGGCTGACACCCACAGCGAACACCTGTCTGAATCAAACGCCTATCGCACTATCTATCAAAATCACTATCACTATCATTATAATCTATACCTATAGACCTCTCTCAGCTCAGATGTCGTGTCGAGCAGTCAATCTTCGATCTCCAGCTGTGGTTCCAGGCCAACAGTCTAAAAATGAACCAAAACAAAACCTTTATCACTCTCATCGGAACCCAGCAAACTCTAAAAAAGACCGAGTCATTCTACGTCTCACTCTCCGGTAACGACATTCGGCCAAGTCAGACCGTCAAAATTTTGGGTGTGCTGCTCGACCGACACCTGACGTGGGATCCCCACATAACCATGGTTGTGCGTCGCTGCAACTCCATCCTCGCATCCCTCCACAAAATCCGGCACCACCTCACACCTGACGTCCTTAAACTCCTAGTCCAAGCCCACGTGTTCCCACACATTCAGTATTGCCTGTCCGTCTGGGGAGGAGCCGCCAAGTGTCAAATGCAGCGCGTCCAAAAGACGATGAACTTCGCCGCCAGACTTGTGACCGGGACGCGACGGTCCGTGCATATATCGCCGGCGTTGGAGTCGCTTGGTTGGGAGAGGGTGGATGTGATGCTGCGCCGCCATGATCATGTTCACGTCCAGAGAGCCCTGTATAATGACCAATGTCCCCCAGCGATGTCGGCCATGTTCACCCGCCGGGCCGAAGTGTCGTCACGTGACACTCGCGCGGTAGCAGCCGGGAAGTTGCAGCTCCCGAAGTGGCGGCTCGCAAGAACTCAGCGGGAGTTTGCATATAGAGCGGCAGCATCGTGGAATGCGAAGGACACCGCCACAGGCACCTGATTTTAGAATGTCAACCTGCTGATGTCAACTTCCTACATGCGGATGATGCGTTCGCGAGTGTTTTAATGTAATCGTCGATGTGTTTTAACGTAGCTTTTGCCATTGTATCAGTATCATATATTTTTAATTGGGTCTCATTTGGCTCTTATGTCACCATGTCACATTCCTGACCGGATTCTTAATACCCACCCCGTGGAAGAATTCTAATAAATGACTTTGACTTTGACTTTGCCTAATTACCATGACAATCAGCCGTTCGAACTGTTTGTCAATGCCGCAGGGCTCGGTGTCAGTGGTGCGGTGTTCGGTGGCAGATATCGGCTGGATCGAGGTGACATCCGATCGAGTTGAGTAGACGCACGGGACGCGAACTTTCCAAAGAGCGGGGAGGAAGAGAGGGCGGAGCCGGGACACGGGGCTGCGAGGTCGGCAGGTGATACGCACAAAACGCGCAGCGCGCACCGGCACAGCCGCCGGGACCGGAGATAGCGCCATTCGTCGGCCATTAATCCTTTTAAAGTTAGATAATGAAACAATGATACACTTTAGGGGCGCTGCGGAGTTTTGCGTATGCGCGTCATCATCCGAATGAAATTCATGCTAACCTCGAAGTGACAAAAAGCGCCCGAAACGAGCGACTGATTCCGCATAGTGCGAAGACATTTGACCAAAGCGCCACCTAGAGCACAGCTTTCGAATGTGACCACTAGGTGTTCTGCGGTCAGAGGTTTCAGGAATGGGAAATCAGCTCTTCCAAGATTACTTTACTAACCCGCGCCCCGTTGGGCTCTGCCGAGCAACGCGCCCCGTTGGGGGGGGGGGGGCCATTTTGGCCCCCCCCTAAGATCTCGAGAACCACGCAACGTAGCGACAAGCGGCAAACGGTGTTGGATAGCACTATCAGGGAACTACCTTGTGACCCAATTTTATTGACCTAGGTCAAACCGATGACGTCACAGGTCAGGTCAAAGGTCCAATTTTCACCGTTTACAGGCATTTCAAGAAATGCGTTGTAAAATCGAGTAAAATGCATTTCATTGAAAATCATCGATGGGGAAATGTTCTTCAAACACATATTTTGCTAGTTGAGGTCACTGATACCAGGTCAGGTCACTGAGGTCAGGTCACTGGGGGGTCACAATATGAAAGTGTCGTGTGATACATGTTTTATGGTCCATTTTACATGACAAATGCGATTATGTGGGTCAGGCAGCCTTTGGGGCCAGCTTAGGTCACGTTTTGGTCAAGGTCAGGTCAAGGTCAGGTCAAGGTCAGGTCAAATAAGGTCAAATTTCAAAGTTGATATTTTTGCATAAAATGGGTATCGAATCGATGCAGCTCGTCACGGGGAGTTCAATGGTGGTCTTTGTTTTGCCGTACGAGGTCTATAATCGCTAAAAATTGAGTTCAAAAATTTGACGTCATCATTTTTGAACAGTTTTTTTCGCTATAACTTGGCCAAAAAACGAGATATCGATCTGAAATTTGGTATGTATATAGAAGAGCGCAGGGACTATCACATATATTCCGGTTTTTTCGAAATTCGGAAAAATTTTTGATTTTTTTTTAGTTTTTCTAAAAAAATCAATTTTTTGATTTTTTTTGGGTCAAAAACCCAAAATTTCGAAAATCCGAGATAGCAGTTTTGTAGCGCCGCTTTTTGTCTACTAGACCATATAAAGAACTTTGAAATTGCTTGATAACTGTAGATTTGGTGAGCGTTTAAAGATTGCATGTTTTTTGCTCATTTTTGCTCGAACATGACCTCAGTTTGACCTCAATAACTCCTGACCTAAGGTGACCTAAGACTTGAAATTTGGTGTGAAGGTGTCAAATTGATGCCCGGAAAGGTACTGAAAATTTGGCGGCGCTGCGCGCCGCCGTTTTCTTGCTATTCAGGAAAAACCACAGGGGGGGGGGCCAAAATGGCCCCCCCCCCAACGGGGCGAGGGCTAATAGCCTCTTCAGCCTCGGCAGCGTTGCATGAGGTGCTGAAAAGTGCGTTTTTCTATCAGCTAATGTCAGCTGTTTCGAGAGAAACTCTCTCTCTAATCCTCTGCGAATCCATGTTGCAGGAAGGAGAGTCGCTCTATTCTCATCTTCACCATGATTAGCGGTGTAACGTTCAACCGAAACTCGATTTCATGTGCATTGCTATGTGTTCGCGCGTTGATAATGCTGCCAATAGAGCAATGTTCCTATGGTTGGAGTGTGCAGCACAACCTCACGTACTCGCATCTCCACGTCATGTTACGTGTTTGAAATCCCGCGGACCGACATCTGCCGTCCTGTCGAGATCCAGCCACCCTCCCATCCGCCATCTGTCGGCGTACGGCCCTCCAGGTATTTAGTGGTTGGTTGCAAACATTACAATAAGCGATCTGCACTGATGAATACGTCTAATGGCTGTTGAAAACCATTGCCGAAGTGTGTGCACGAACTCTCTTCTCATTTCTATTGAGTCATTTTGCAGGAGTGTCTCTGTCATTCAAAGTTATTACACCAAAAGCACTTATGCAGTATGCTAACCAACCACTCTTTTGCTGGAGGGCCGTACTCTCAGATCCGTTCAGAATCCTCACCAAACCTCCACCCTCAACAACCATAATCTTCTCCCTCCTGTCCTTGACACGATAACCTCTCCCCAGCCATCGGAACGAATAAACCCTGATAGACCGAGAAAATCGACCATCCTAGTCTGTCCTCGATACTCAGGACTCAGCGGTCGGAAGCAGCCCCCTGTCAGATTGTGAAAAGCGACAGAGCTGCGTCTTCTCCAACTCTGCCGAACCCAGCCCGAGAGAAACACTGCCTGTACCGCATCGCCGATGTATTGGTGAGTGGTCACACGTTACAGGTATGGCTCGGGGAACTCGAAAGTGACGTCCTTACCGGTCAACTTTTTGTACACGGCGCCGAATGTGTCGGTCTGCGAACACACGAACAGAGAGACGGCGTCAGAGGAATGCCCGACACTGGAGAGAGCGGAAACTAGGGACGACAGCAAACAAAAGATATCGGCGATTGATGAAGGATAACGAAGTCTCGACGGACATCGAGCGATTCGAGAAAGAGCGGAGAAAGGAAACCGCTGGTAAGCCGACACAGCAATAAATCTAGGAAAATTAAAGTCAACCCCAGAATACAAGTGCATAGTGACGGTCGATGGACAAGGTGTAAGGCCTTTCATTTGGTGAAGAATAAACCAGGCTGGAATAAGACCCTAAAACGCCACAGCGGACGGAAAAAGGACGCGGAAACGTTCCGGTAACACATGGCTCAAATGACGCGGAGATTCCAAGGGCTGAGTATCATAAACACGTGAGAGATACAAAAGGAGAGTCGACTTAATCGCTTGCTCAGGGTTTCAACATACAAGGTCTTACTCCCCGTTAATTAAGTAAAACATATGCCACCTCGGCATGTTATACCCGGTAGAATAAAATGCTACCGGGATTTCACAATAAGTATCCGAGCCAAATCAACCAATGTCGACTTAACTGACAACAACCAACGTAGACCCCGCTCAGAATAGAAGCATTTCGCACTCCATTGCTACCACGGAAACCAATCTCCCAAACACACACCTACCCAGATCACCCCCCCCCCCCCCCAACACACACAGCACGGCTGCCGAGCTCCGTCGGCCGGGCCGTCCGTGGACCCACCTTGTGTTCGATGTTGGTCTGCTGCGCCTTGTCCAGGTGCACCTTGATCAGCCGCGAGCCGTCCAGCTTTATCCGGATGCGCTTGCCGACGATCTCGGCGGGGTAGACGAGGTCCTCGAGGATCATCTCGTGGACGTGCGTCAACGTCCGGCTGCGGGCGGGGGGGGGGGGGGGGTCGGAGGTCAGCGCGCCGTCGCACACTCGGGGGAAGGGGAGAGTGATCACAATATCGTGCTGGTGAACTTTCTGCTATACCCTTTTAGACTGCAGCTAAGAAAATTACAATGCCGGTCCGCACAATCCGCTGAATGAGTCTAGTACTGTGTGCAGATAAAATGATGCTCTTCCCGCGTGCCCCAAACCCCAAACGGCTACCACTCCGCCTCCCGCACCTCATGGGCCGCTTCTGCTTGCTCTTGTTGTTCATCTTGCGGGTGGGCTTGGGCAGGATGCGGCGCTGAGCGATAAACACCACCTGGCGGCCGCTGAACTTTTTCTCCAGCTCGCGCACCAGGCGGGTCTGGATCTTCTGGTAGGCGCGCATCTGGGGCACCGGTACGAACACTACGATCGCCTGCGGGGAGAGGTCATACAGTCATACACAGGGTGGAATGTGGTGACAGGAAAAAAATGATGACATTGCTGTTCCATTAAGAATAGGCCTGGTCGGAATCGGCTGCTGTGCTGTTGTCAGCTGAGATCCAAGCCCCTGATTGGTTGAGATATTGATGACGTATCACACCTTCCCGCGCTGTGACGTCATACCTCTGCTGACAGCCGGCTTTTCGGCTGCTGGGAGAGGGCAGCAGCACGTCAGCCGAAATTCAAATTGGCTCGAAAGTGGCGCATGTAAGTCAAAGCGCAGCTTTATAGTGCTGGATGGTGCAGGTGCCAGGTGGTTAGTTTTTTATACAATGTTTTAGACGTATTTTGTATTTAATATTTTTCGTGAAAGATAACAATTATTTTTCATGGCGTAATGTGCGAGTCAGCCTGAAAACAGTACCTACAAATCGAAATGCCAGCACCACCTCAAAATTATCAACCCTGTAATTTTTTATATAGCCTCGGCAAATAAACCTCAGAAATATTATGTAACGGAAGATAGTCGTTGAAAAAAAAAACGCGAAAATGCTACCTGTCCTCAAGTCTCAACCCCATAGATATAAAGACCAACCCTATCTGTCGAGCGCCATCTTTGGCTGACGTTTCCTGTCAGCCGATTATGAACAAGGCCATCAGCAGCGCGGTGTGGGCGGGGCTTATTCTCGGCTGACAAAGTTCTGTCAGCCAATTCCGACCAGGCCTGAGCCCTGTTTCACCGGTGATAGCAGCACGCTACTATCAAATTGCGCGAGCTGACGTAATGTGATGAGGTCACACTACTGACGTTTGGTGTAATCCGAGAGCTGCGTTTGGAACAGAGTTGCTGTTTCGTTGAATTGCGTTTGATACATTTGTTTGATCGCACGGCCGTGAACATGCTAGCAGCAATATTTGATGACATCACACAGTTTGACGACGCCATGGTTTGTTGATGTTTCCATGGAAACCCAATTTGACACGTGTGATAGCAGCGTGCTGCTATCACCGGTGAAACAGGGCCCTAATGTGAATGTCTCGCCCGACGCAGCAAAGTTGCAAGGAGCCAGAGAACTAAAAAAAAAAAAAACGGCTAGAGTCCGAACAATAAGTTATGAAGCATCTCTGCTTTGTTAATTTAAAAAGATAAAAATTCCAACTTAACAATAGATGCGAAATTAATCAACGTCACGTATCACAGCTCATGGATAGCTCATGAATAGGTCACTGGTCAATTTCCTCAAATCTGTTTAATCATATGGCCCCAGGTCACATAACGCTCGCAGCACTCCTTCAGTTTCAGGATGACATTGTTGTCTGGCCGGCAGCCAGCCACCAATTTTAATATAGTGTGGTGCGGTGTGAATTTTCAATTCGGTGGTGAGGGCCAAACCAGGGCAACATGCTAAAAAATGGCGCTGGAACAGCACAATCCACGATAATAATGACTAATAATTAACTAATGACTGTTACCTACCTAAGGTAAAAACTTAGGGTAAAGCTGGTGAATAGACTTTCTCACCTTTTGTTCTCAGATCACCTCAGGAACCTCAATTACCTACTCAGGAATTCGGACGGAAGCGGTCGGATATCATCGAGACCTTCCAAACTTTGAAAAGTCTCGACAAGGTGGACTACCAAAGAGAATGCACGTGTCGTCAAAACAGCATGTTCAAGAACTCTCTCAGCCGTGTCACCAGAGGTCACGCAAAAGCTTCAAGTTCAGCATAAGCTAGGACCTAGAAAAGCAATATTTGCGGAACGAGTAACTCAGACATGGAACAAGCTGTCAGACCACACCATCGATGCTCTAAATGTTGACGTCTCAAAGTACAGATTGGGGGAGGAATGGAAGGACCACTCTAAAAGTTCAACTACAGTTCTCATACTAATCATCATTGGCCATGAGTTTATGTCCCTACTGAGCATGGCAGCCAACTCGTCATCATTAGACGAGGAGGCATCTCTTGAGTAAAGGGTTTGATTACTTGAAAGGGTACTATTGACCTTTACTTAAGGTAAATACTTGAGGTAAATAATAGCACAATGGGGACTCAGCACTAGCAGAGACTGCAAGAAAGCTGAACTCCGCTGATGCTGTCAGTGGACGGCACCAGTGCAATTTCCTGCCAAATTAAAGCATGAACTTGAAATTCTGATTGTTCTCCTGTTGTGATGTGGCCTTATCCTGATTTCTTGCTTGGTCAGGGCAAATTTCTCCTCACAACTTGAACTGGTGAAAGCAATCAAGTCTCTTGGATCTCCATCAATGATCAATTAATTAAATTTTCATTCATGTCAAAGGAAAGTATGCAATTATCAAGCCCAGCCAAAACGCAGCAGCCAACCCTAAAAATACATACATGCATTATCATCACAAACCTTCCACATATAGCAGGGCAAAAATTTCAGTACTGGCCCACCTTCTTGTCTCCGGCATCGACCTCCTTGGCGGCAGTGATGTGGAGCTCCTTGAGCTGCTGCTTCAGGTCAGTGTTGGCCTCCAGCTCCAGCAGAGCCTGGCCAATCGAGTTCTCAAAGTCTGTCGGCTTGTCGCCGGCCTTCTTGACAATCTTTGTTGCCAGCGCCATCTGTGAACACCAAACGAGATAAGCACATTAGCACGTGGCCAGAAAAAGCAGTTTTTTTTTTGCTTTGATTCATATAGCATTCCTCATAAGGTAGTGAAACAGATGAAAAATATGTAACACCTGGTAATACTCAAGGCAAATGCAGTCCCACAAATGGCGAGAAACATATAATGTGCAGAAATTGTTACCATTGGCATGTCAAGGCTGAAAGAAGGCAAAACAAAACATAACAATGAAAGCCTTATCTAACTAACTACTTAACTACTTATCTAACTAACTACCACAAGTCAACCATGAATAATAGGTATCAGAACCAAAACTGCAAAGATCTGCAACAGGCCTATCAAACTATGTGCTATTGTGAAAATGTCCTGATCCTATCCGGGTTCCTCCTGCTCCAGTCCTTACTACCGGCTGCGAAGCAGAAGGAGCCCCACCAGGTAAGAGTACCAGGTAAACACACAAACTCTAATGCTCTAGCACAGATGGTCCTCCTAATCACACGTCGAAGGAAAACAAACCGATGACTCAGTCAGGGAAACTATGGTAAAATCTGCTATTTTTAGCAGTCTGCTATTTTTAGCAGAAATCTGCTAAAAATGGGTACGCATGTGACGTCATCGTACCCAAATATAGCAGATTTGGGTACGGCCCCATATAAAAGCAGATCTGCACCCTAATTGAAGCAAATGCGCATCAAATGCCTGGCAGATTCATGATGAGAATAGTGCTGAGAGTGTTCTCTGCTATTTTTGTTCAGATCCGACTATTTTCAAATTCATTATTTGAAAATAGTCGGATCTGAACAAAAATATCAGAGGACATTCTCAGCACTATTCTCATCATGAATCTGCCAGGCATTTGATGCGCATTTGCTTCAATTAGGGTGCAGATCTGCTTTTGTATGGGGCCGTACCCAAATCTGCTATATTTGGGTACGATGACGTCACATGCGTACCCATTTTTAGCAGATTTCTGCTAAAAATAGCAGACTGCTAAAAATAGCAGATTTTACCATAGTTTCCCCGACTGGACTACAATTGACAAAACCGCAAATTGAAATACAGAACACACGGACCATACGTTCATGAGGTAGGTACTGAGGAAGTTTGCGATATACCGAAGAGTTGCAGGAATTAAAAAGCTGGAGTTATTGCTAATGGGAAACGACATATAACAATGTTAAATGAGTTATTGCTCTTCATTATAATGAAAATACATAATCGACGCACCTTGCCCGGCTAAAGCGGAACCACGAAAGACAGGCTGACAGCGCTGCTGTAAACATTTCGAAAATATTTTTTTGCATGAACGATTTTTATTTTGTCATTTAAATATTTTATGAATATACTTTCCCCTTTAATTTGCCTCCGATTAACCTCAAGATAAGTTTGGATGAAATTATCCTCAAATATTCTGAAACAGCTCGCGCCAAATAAAAAGGCATGTTGCTTTGAGATTGCGCGAGCAGCACCAGCAGATTTAGGCCAATGGAATTGCAGTGTTTCGGCTCTTTGAAACAACATAACCAATGAAAGAAGGTCAATTCACACACTTCTATCGAACTGAACACTGCAAGAAAAGTACTTCTTCGCGCCAGAACTTGTTTTGTTTTGACACGGCGCTGAAACGCTGGGGTGTAATTTCTGTCAAATTTCGTAATTTTATGAGTTGTTGTGTCAGTTTTGTATCCTTATTTCTTTCATCGGAATCCTCCCGTATTGATCTATCATGGATCATCAACTAACAACAGGTGCTATTGTGAAAATGCTCAATGGAGAAAAGGTTGATAATGCAGTTCTCCAAGTCATATCTCACAAAAGGGTCGTAGGTAAGTCGTTTTCAGCTGTTTTCTGTTGTGATTTAGCATTGGACTTAAGCCATATACCATACCAATGATATATTATCAGTCAATTGACAAACAGTGTTTGCAGCTAACCTCGTCTAAATGTCGTGCAACTGGTGCTGTGTTGGTCTCAGTCTGGTTGTTCCAGAGGAAATGGCTGGAGCCCAGAGGGCTGTTCGGGCCCATGCAAAGATCTGTGCTGTGTGTGTCATACTTGGGTGATGACATCAGCTGCCTGGCTCCACCCACTCCTATTGCATGGTGGGGCCGACCGCGTTTGGCATTTCTGCAGTGCAGGAAATCTGTGGTGCAGGTGGAATGGTGGTTTTCGTTAAAAAAAAACCTTGCCGGCACAGGCCATTTTGTGTAGTTACCCCCTCGTATTTGGACCCTGATCGAGCCAGAGCTTAAATGCTCAAATGGTTGTTAATTTTGAATTCAGCTTCAAAAAGTAGCCTAGTAACATGTAAAACTTGGAACAGTGAACTGAGGTCACCAAAGGTCAATGACCTGACCTGACCTTCAGGTGATCTTGACATCCACCCTTATGCATGGGAGCAACATCAAATCACATGTTTGAACGTTTGAAACCACGAAAAGCATGCAAACGCGCGGCAAATGCGAGCCGACATACCTACGCCGAAACGCAAACATGGTTTCGGAAAGTAGGTCACAGGTCAAAGGCAATTTGGGTCGGGTCATGAAATTTTCAGGGTAGGTGTAAATTGATCAATGCAAGGGTACTGAACGTTTCGTCGCGATCGGCCGCTTTTTACGCGAGTTATTCGCGAAAAACCGGGGGGGGGGGGATAATTACCGGGCTTTGCAAAAGTTCTGTTACACTTTCTTTTTCTTAATTTTGAGGGGTTTACAGGTCTGGGCCAAACGTTTCGGCGATATCAATTGAAAATTTTGCTAATTAGAGACATGGTACCATGACGAATTTAACCTTCTTTTGCAGTTATATCAAAATGGAGGCCAAGAGAATAGAGATAGCCGCTTTGCTCCGCGCGCAGCATACCAAAGCTTTCTTTGCCAAGCAACTGAAAGTCAGTCGGATGACCGTCCACAGAGTTGCATCATCACGGAGGCCGGATGTTTGGTCTTTGACACGCGGCGGACCTCGGAAACATCGTTCCCAAAGGTGACGACGCGGTCGTTCTGCTTGTTCACGACCGGGTCAACCGTGAAGGTTTTCTCGTCAGAGAAGATGAGGACGCGTTTTACGTTGCTCTTCAGGTCGCTGAGCAGGCGCTGACAGCGGTCGCGGCGCTGCTCCCGCATTCGGGCAGTGAGCAGAGGCCCTTCCAGGAGTCGTAGGCTCTTTCCACCCTGGTTCTTGACGGCCCTGGACACCGTGGCGACCGAAATCTTCTTGCGTTTCGCGACCTCAGTCATTTTCAGCCTTGGGTTGCGTTCGAATGCCCGTTTTACGGCCAGTCGGCTCACTACCCGAGGTCTGCCGGTACGGGGTCGATCTTTGAGACCTTCTCCGCTCTTTAGCCTGTCCGCAACTCTGTGGACGGTCATCCGACTGACTTTCAGGTGCTTGACAATGAAAGCTTTGGTATGCTGCGCGCGGAGCAAAGCGGCTATCTCTATTCTCTTGGCCTCCATTTTGATATAACTGCAAAAGAAGGTTAAATTTGTCATGGTACCATGTCTCTAATAAGCAAAATTTTCAATTGATATCGCCGAAACGTTTGGCCCAGACCTGTAAACCCCTCAAAATAAGAAAAAGAAAGTGTAACAGAACTTTTGCAAAGCCCGGTACACGAGGGAGGGAGGGGACCGCTGGGGTCGGTCCCCTCCCTCCCCCGGCAGTGCCGCCGGCGGTGCACCGTCCGTGCCGCGCCGCCGGCCACGTTGCGACACGTTGCGGTCTCGCTTGGGGAGCGGACCGGGACCGGGGTCCGGGACCACGCTGCCGGGACCGCCCCGGGGCAGACTGCGGTCCGCGACCGTTCACCACGCCTGCACTGGCGGTTTGAGAGCCACCGGCGCCGGTCACAGTGCACACGGCGCCGGTTTGAGGACCCCGAGACGATGACTGGGGTCTGGTGGGGCGGGGCGGGGCGGGTCGTTTGGGCTCCATTTGGGATCGGCCGCTTTTTACGCGAGTTATTCGCGAAAACCCTTAGTGGGGCCGTTGCATCACCCCCCGCTGTGCCGGCGAGGGTGAAATGCAGTTGTCTGTTGTCAAAAGCAATATTCCACTGAAAAAGAGTGATAATTGTATGAAAAACACTATACAACCTTCGTACAATAAGGGCAAAAAAGGGCAGCACTTTTAACCTGCGCCCTGCTGGGGGAGGGCTGTTCCCCCCCCCCGACTTTTCGATATATCTCCCAGAGCCGCTGCGCTGATCGTCACCAAACTTTCAGAACCCTCCCGGGCATCAATTTTACATATTATTACCAAACATTTTTCCAAAAGCTATAAGTTGGCCGTAAATGACGTCAGAGTGACGTCATGGCCTGCCGTTTTCGACCAAAAAAAGGTTTCGCAAGAAGAGCTGTCACCTTTTTCAAACATGCACCTACTTTGACCATGTGACCCCGCCTGCCGTGACCCCGCCTGCCGTGACCCCGCCTGCTGCAGGTGACACGGAGCGGTACCGGCTGCTCATCTCGGACGGACAGCACATGAACAGCTTTGCCATGCTGGGCACCCAGCTGGTCTACATGATCCACGAGAACCAGCTGGCGCCCAACCCGTGTTCAGACTGAACCGGTACGTCTCCAACACCGTCAACGGCACCAAGAAGATCATCATCCTGCTGGACATCACGGTCCTGGTCCCCGGCGCGCAGACCGGCAAGATCGGCAACCCGCAGGCCTACGCGGCGGGCAGCACTCCGGCCCCGGCCGCTGCGGCTCCCACCCCCCCGCTCCGGCTCCCGCGCCGGCCTTCAAAAACTCGACCAGCAACGGAGCGATGGCGGCGCGCCCGGTCGCCGCGCCGCCGGCCGCCACTGGCCAGCTGTCCGCGCAGAACGTGATGCCCATCGCGCACCTGACACCCTACGCCAACAAGTGGACCATCAAGGCGCGCGTCACCAGCAAGAGCGACATCCGCACGTGGAGTAACGCGCGCGGCGAGGGGCTGTTCTCGTTCGAGCTGCTTGACGAGAGCGGAGAGATTCGCTGCACGGCGTTCAAGGAGCAGTGTGACAAGTTCTACGACTTCCTGGAGCCGAACAAGGTCTACTACCTGAGTCAGGCCTCCCTGAAGCCGGCCAACAAGCAGTTCTGCGGCACGATCCAGCACGACTTTGAGCTGACGCTCAACCACAACTCGATTATCGAGCCGTGCATGGACGACTCCTCCATCCCGGGGATGCAGTTCAACTTTGTGCCCATCTCTGACCTGCAGACCATGGAGAAGACCGGCCTGGTGGATGTGATCGGCGTCTGCAAGGAGGCCGGCGACCTGGACCGCATCATGTCCCGCAAGTTCAGCAAGGAGCTCACCAAGCGGGACCTGAAGCTGGTCGACCAGAGCAACACGGAGGTCACCCTGACGCTGTGGGGCTCGCAGGCCGAGAGCTTCGACGCCGCCGGCAACCCGGTGGTGGCCATCAAGGGCGCGCGCCTCTCCGACTTCAACGGCTGCAGCCTCAGCTCGGGCGGCAACAGCAAGCTGCAGCTGAACCCCGACATCGACCAGACCTACAAACTCAAGGGCTGGTACGAGAACGAGGGCGTCAACATGGAGTCCAAGTCCATCTCGACGCGAGCTGCCCGGCCGGACAACTTCAAGACGTTCGCCCAGGCCAAACACGAGAACATCGGCGGTACTGGTGAGCCGGGGTACTACAGCGTGTGTGCCACCATCCTGCAGCTGCGCAGCGAGAACTGCCTCTACCAGTCGTGCCCGAACGGCGACTGCAAGAAGAAGGTGATCGACCAGCAGAACGGCACGTTCCGCTGCGAGAAGTGTAACGAGCAGTTCTCGGAGTTCCGATGGCGGGCGCTGATGCAGATGAACGTGGCCGATATGACCGACAACCAGTGGGTCACCGCCTTCCAGGTGAGACGATCGGCGCTTATTACCCCCCTCCCCCCCACACACACACATACACACACACAGACACACAGACACACAACCAGAGGGTCACTGCCTTCCAGGTGAGACGATCGGCGCTTATTACCCCCCTCCCCCCCCACACACACAGACACACAACCAGTGGGTCACCGCCTTCCAGGTGAGACGATCGGCGCTTATTACCCCCCTCCCCCCCCCCACACACACATACACACACACAGACACACAACCAGTGGGTCACCGCCTTCCAGGTGAGACGATCGGCGCTTATTACCCCCCCCCCCCGCACACACACAGACACACAACCAGTGGGTCACCGCCTTCCAGGTGAGACGATCGGCGCTTATTACCCCCCTCCCCCCGCACACACACACATACACACACAGACACACAACCAGTGGGTCACCGCCTTCCAGGTGAGACGATCGGCGCTTATTACCCCCCTCCCCCCCCACACACACACATACACACACAGACACACAACCAGTGGGTCACCGCCTTCCAGGTGAGACGATCGGCGCTTATTACCCCCCTCCCCCCGCACACACACAGACACACAACCAGTGGGTCACCGCCTTCCAGGTGAGACGATCGGCGCTTATTACCCCCTCCCCCCGCACACACACACATACACACACACAGACACACAACCAGTGGGTCACTGCCTTCCAGGTGAGACGATCGGCGCTTATTACCCCCCTCCCCCCCCACACACACAGACACACAACCAGTGGGTCACCGCCTTCCAGGTGAGACGATCGGCGCTTATTACCCCCCTCCCCCCCCCACACACACACATACACACACACAGACACACAGACACACAACCAGAGGGTCACTGCCTTCCAGGTGAGACGATCGGCGCTTATTACCCCCCTCCCCCCCCACACACACAGACACACAACCAGTGGGTCACCGCCTTCCAGGTGAGACGATCGGCGCTTATTACCCCCCTCCCCCCGCACACACACACATACACACACACAGACACACAACCAGTGGGTCACCGCCTTCCAGGTGAGACGATCGGCGCTTATTACCCCCCTCCCCCCCCCACACACACATACACACACAGACACACAACCAGTGGGTCACCGCCTTCCAGGTGAGACGATCGGCGCTTATTACCCCCCTCCCCCCGCACACACACACACATACACACCACAGACACACAACCAGTGGGTCACCGCCTTCCAGGTGAGCCGATCGGCGCTTATTACCCCCCTCCCCCCGCACACACACAGACACACAACCAGTGGGTCACTGCCTTCCAGGTGAGACGATCGGCGCTTATAATTAACCCCCCCCCCCCCACATACACACACACACACATACACACATACAGACACACAGACACACAACCAGTGGGTCACCGCCTTCCAGGTGAGACGATCGGCGCTTATAATTAACCCCCCCCCCACACATACACACACACATACACACACACAGACATACAATCAGTGGGTCACTGCCTTCCAGGTGAGCCGATCGGCGCTTATTACCCCCCTCCCCCCCCCCCACACACACATACACACACACAGACACACAACCAGTGGGTCACCGCCTTCCAGGTGAGACGATCGGCGCTTATTACCCCCCTCCCCCCCCACACACACATACACACACACAGACACACAACCAGTGGGTCACCGCCTTCCAGGTGAGACGATCGGCGCTTATTACCCCCCTCCCCCCCCCACACACACATACACACACACAGACACACAACCAGTGGGTCACCGCCTTCCAGGTGAGACGATCGGCGCTTATTATTACCCCCCCCCCCCGCACACACACAGACACACAGACAAACAACCAGTGGGTTACTGCCTTCCAGGTGAGACGATCGGCGCTTATATCCCCCTCCCCCCACATACACACACACACACACACATACACACATACAGACACACAGACACACAACCAGTGGGTCACTGCCTTCCAGGTGAGACGATCGGCGCTTATATCCCCCCCCCCCCCCATACACACACTACAGACACACAGACACACAACCAGTGGGTCACTGCCTTCCAGGTGAGCCGATCGGCGCTTATTACCCCCCTCCCCCCCCCCCCACACACACATACACACACACAGACACACAACCAGTGGGTCACTGCCTTCCAGGTGAGCCGATCGGCGCTTATTACCCCCCTCCCCCCCCACACACACACACATACACACACACAGACACACAACCATGGGTCACCGCCTTCCAGGTGAGCCGATCGGCGCTTATTACCCCCCTCCCCCCCCCCACACACACACCACAGACACACAGACACACAACCAGTGGGTCACCGCCTTCCAGGTGAGACGATCGGCGCTTATTACCCCCCTCCCCCCCCCCACACACACACCACAGACACACAGACACACAACCAGTGGGTCACTGCCTTCCAGGTGAGCCGATCGGCGCTTATTACCCCCCTCCCCCCCACACACACACATACACACACACAGACACACAACCAGTGGGTCACCGCCTTCCAGGTGAGACGATCGGCGCTTATTACCCCCCCCCCCCCCCCCCCCACACACACACACAGACACACAACCAGTGGGTCACCGCCTTCCAGGTGAGACGATCGGCGCTTATTATTACCCCCCCCCCCGCACACACACAGACACACAGACAAACAACCAGTGGGTTACTGCCTTCCAGGTGAGACGATCGGCGCTTATATCCCCCTCCCCCCACATACACACACACACACACATACACACATACAGACACAGACACACAACCAGTGGGTCACTGCCTTCCAGGTGAGACGATCGGCGCTTATATCCCCCCCCCCCACATACACACACTACAGGCACAGCCAGTCGGTCCACCATAGGCTCACATCACACGCCTTCATCACAAATACGCTATTGATTGGGCACTGCCTTCCAGTGGGCACATAATGAGCCTACTGTTGAACTTGAGACACCTTCAAACCCAAACAGTTCACCTTCCATGTGAGACCGACGTCTACGATTTATCCTATCGGACAAATACTGCGATTAGGAAAATGTAGAGTGTAAGTCGTGACCGCTGGTAATGCGTTTTGTCAATAGTGAAGAGACACTACCTTCTTGCTGTAAGCTTGCTCAAAGCTCACGGGCTCTTTGTAGCATTTTTAGTTGCGCTCAGAGTATCACTCCAACATCGACGACTATTGTCGATGCAGCCACAATCAGTTGCAGGTATTTTGTCGTTCTGAATAGATTGAAATATGAAAAGACATTCCTGCCAGTCGTATGCCTAGCTGAGTCGGGCCAGCCTTTAATTCGTATGCCTGTTGTGGTCATTGTATTGTTGCTAGTCGTCCCCCAGCCCCTCCCCCCCCCCCCCTGAGAAGGCGGCAGAATGTGAACTGACCACCCTCCCCCCCCCCGCAGGAGACCGCCGAGGCGGTGCTCGGAATCTCTGCAGACGAGCTCGGCAGGATGCGCGACTCAGATCCGGAGCGATTCCAGGCCGTCTTCAACCGGGCCACCTTCAAACAGTTCAACATGAAGCTGCGCGCCAAGATGGAGTCCTACAACGACGAGTCGCGCATGCGCGTTGTAGTGTCGGCGGCGGCGCCCGTGTCGGCTGACCTGGAGGCTCACAAGCGCCGGCTCCGAGAGGAGATCATCGCCATGGGCGGCCAGCCCAACGAAGAGAAGATGGTGGTCGACTAGGCGGAGGATCCGGTTAGGATGGGAGGGACGGGTGAAAAGTGATGGGGCACAAAAGACGCTGGTGGGTTATTTGAGAAGAGATTTCAGACATGCAATGCACGTTTGATAATCTTGCATTGAGGTGATCGTATCGTGCTGGCTTACCGGACCAAGATATGCCGGTGTTATCTGAGGACTTAACCCACGAGCCGCTGGGGGGGGGCATAAAGTTGCCCCCCCCTTTACGTTTTGTGAAATATCTCCGAAACCTGATGAGCTACGAGCGTGAAACTTGGCATAGCTTCAAATGAATACCTAGGCAATGTTTGAGGAAAGTTTGGTGGTTGTAGCACCCAAGATGACGTCACAGTGACGTCATAAAGTTTTGTCGTTTTCCGATATGGACCGTTTCTGATGACGCTGAGCATGAAACTCGACTGTAAATGAACTAGACAGCATCTGCTGTCATCCTAAACATCTTACTACACTTCCATCTAGTTTCTGACCAATAATCGGCCCTTTATATTCGGTCCCATATATGTGATGCATCGTGAGGAATATGAGAGTCGCAAATCTATAATTTCACTTATGACGTCACTGTGACGTCATTGCAAATGGGATCGACACCAAATTTGGACACAACCTCGCCTAGGTATTCAGGAAGATGTGTGCAAAGTTTCGCTTCTCTATCTCTTCGCGTTGCGACGATATCGTCGCAGAAGTAAAGGGGGGGCAACTTTATGCCCCCCCCCCCCCAGCGGCCGGCGGGTGGCGCGGAGGCCCAGCGGCCGCCGGGTTAACCCGTGCTGACTGGGGAGCGATTGGCTATCGTATCACTCGAGCGGGTGGTCCGAAGCACGCCGACGCCTGCGCCGGCCTGAAGTGACCTTGAGTGTCGTGAATGACTGCCAAGACGACCTGACGATGTGCTCGGATGGCCGAGTGTGGTGACTGTTTTCACAGACGTTGCGCAGTGCGTGCCGTCTAGGATTGGGACTCGAGTCCAGATAGGCCGCGGGCAGCGGCGAGACGTGCAGTTGCATGGCTGAACCAAAACTTCGTTACTTGGCGAGATGCACGTTTTTCTCGTTAAATGTCCAAGAGGTCCTTGGTCCCACCTCGTTTTCTGATGTCTGACAGCCAAGCACTCTTAGCATTCAGTTGCTTCCAATATTCCTCCAATAAGGTATCTTGGAGCTCCTTGCTGATTGCAAGTCACCTCTGTTTTTGTATTTTAGTGCTATGTTATTTTGTAATATATAATAAAAACTCAATTTTGTTTGCAGAATCAAGGATGAGAATGGGGCGATTTGTTTCGATGTTTATACCAGCCCTAGCTATATGAGATTGTGCATTGGTGCGATTTCTACATGTTTTTTTACATGTATCCAAATGTGTGCCAGGGAGGTGTATTCCATGATTCAACGTCTGTCCTTTCCGAGCAAGCCTTTGGTTCAACCTGTCAGTCTTTCGAAGAAAAAGGGTAGCAGCCGCTCGGTAAATTACCATGGTCGATATGCCAAACACCCTCGAACACATGCACACTGTTTCTCGATAGTTCGTGCTCAGATGATCGCGGGTGGCTCGTTTCCCAGATTGAGCGACCATGTGATCGCGCTGCGAGACGGATTTGCCACTCCCGTTTTGCTTGGTTTTGCCCAGAGGCAGGATTTTGCAATCTGCAGCCTGGCGGCGAAATTGTAACTCAAAGTTCGTTTCTCGCCGATAGATGGCAGACGCTGTCCCGGCGGCCTCTCACCGTTATGTGACGTCACGCCGGCCCGTTCCGAGGGCACTCGCGCCGCGGCGCGTTCCAGTTTCAGTGCTGAGGAGTTGGGAGTGAGGGAGCGGGCGTAGCAATCTCGACAGGCACTGTGAAGTGACCGGAGCTGTGATTGAAGTATCGACACGTCTCTAATTGGCGTCCCTCGTCTATTGAACGGCCGACAAACGAAAAGGTGAGTTCTGGACTCTGGTGCAATGGCTGTCCTGTTGAAATCTCACAGGTGGCTGACGAGTGACGATGTCTCACTTTCCTCACCACATGCTTCTCATTTCTCACACCTCTCTGTTGCTCTGACCAAACCCAAAACACGCCTGTCGTTGGTTTATGCCCATCTCCAAACGCGCCTCGTCGGTTGTTTTCGTGGGGCCCCGTGGTGCGGCGCGTGGAATCGGTGTCGAACGATGCAGCAGGTGGTGAAAGGCGGCTCCATACCGGCTCCGCTCCTACCGCGACTGGTGGGCGGCCACCGGAGCAGCGCGGCGGGGATACGCCCGGCACGGGACCGCCAGGAGGGGTGGATTCAGGGCAGGACTGCGTGACATTGAGAGAAAGAGGGATCATGAGGGGGAGACGGAGCGGTCGCGAGACCCTCCACTCTGCCCCATGACAGTGACAGGGGCAGCCCGGACACCCAGTGTGCACCCCGGGCCAGGCTGGGAGGGGAGTGGAGGGAGGGGCAGCGGACCGGGGCTGCCAGGTGCGTCCGGTGGGGTCATAGCGGGGCAGCGTCACTTCCTGCGGCACACTGTGACGCGCCGACCGTCACGTCACGGGACCAGAGTCACGTCCGGAGTCAGCGCGGTCAGACGGCGATTAGATCGCTCCGCACTCCGCCATATAGGTATGGGCAGCGGGCGGCTCTCGTGTGTCGGCGTCCGGTACACGGCCCTGCTGAGCTCGACTGCACTTTAGGAATTTCGACGTTAGGCAGCGGAAGGCACTCATTCCATGTAATGGCCCTTTGCCTTGCAACATGCGGGAATGCGTTACCTGCAGTTGATAGTGCTGGCTGCTATAGCGAGTCAGAGTTGCGAGAAATTATAGATCGCCATGCATTACTTGGGTCCTGGAAGGTGCTGCTAAATGTTTTGCACCGTTCTAGCAATCCGCATTATCAGTGTTAGTGCAACCGCTGCACCATGGAGGTGCATTATAGTTCCAAGGAAGGCGGTCGATTTAAATTAAATATTCCCTCTGCCACCCGAAACAGACACAGTGTAATCAATGTGTCGCTTGACTTTCACCGGCCATAAGACATCGACTTTACCGCTTTAGGAATTGTATATTCCAGCGATGCAACTCCACCCTCACCCTTAGGTATACCTTCCCGAGTGTTTTCTGGCCGGCTCACGGTGACAGCCTGCTGTTCCATTGACCGTCCATTGCCCTAACAAGCCGTTCGTTTGCCCTTTGACGCTACTAACAGCCCGACGGCGTGGTCGATGTCGGCTGGATCAATCGAGCGCCGCTCGCTCGCTGGTCATTGTCGGCGTCGGCCGGGGTCGCGGCAACAGTGACTCATGGAGCTCACGTGGTGGGTTTGTAGGAGGGCTTCAGTGTACGGGTCCCGCTGTGTTCGTTTATAATTGGGGACCACAGGCCCACCCTGAGTGAGCTGAGTCGATAGCACAGGCGATAACAGGTGGCCCCGATGAAAGCCGTGGGGCTGAGCCATTGTCGACTGTAGACTGCTGAGTGCTGAACCTATTTAGGTGTAGGTAAAGTCCTCCGAGTAGTTCCAAAAGCTGTCTTCCCATAAATCCCAGGCTGTCAACAGGTGAATGTGATCTAGGAGCCAAGTGGGTTTTGATTTGTTACTCCTGCTGGCTGTCAGTGGCGCTGCACGCCCTCCCTAGCCCGGCTCGGTAGATCAGAGCAACGGGTCGCGGTCTGTGCATTGTGACCCATGACCCGCGACCTCCGTACGGTCACCGTCCACCCCGAGTGACCGGTCTATGACGGCGCCAACCGAGCGCGTGACGGGCGGATGACGGATACCGCTCCGCCGCCGCCGGGTTCGCCATCTGTCACCCAGCTGACAGCAGAGACTGCGACGCGCCAAACTCGGCGGGCCGCTAACATCAGCAGGGCGATGGCTCGATTGGCCCTCTCCGCTCTAGTGAGCTTCCTGTGCACGGAGTGTAGGACAGTGCGTGCCGTCTCGCGCCGTAGAAACGTGTGTAGAAAGTGCGACAGCCGGCACGGCGGTAGGCCGTCCGGCTGGTGTACATACATATACGAGTACCGCACAGCTGGCGACCTTACGTCCAGATGTGGAATGTGGAAGAAAGCTCCACACTCCAGTCCACACTCCACCTGCCCCATCTCCCCCATCTCCCACCCAGTCCCCGCTGGGGGGCGTCCCGCGGCCCCCGGCGGGCCCCCGGTGAAAGCTGCCGGCCCGCAGCGCGCCCCGTTCGTTTGTTTGTGTGGCGGCGTGGGCGGGCGGCTGCCGCCCAAGGCCAGACAACCCGTCTCCTCGGTACACGGCTGGCGGCGGGCTGAGGGGATGGCGTGCGGCGCCTAGGTATGAGGGAGGTATGAGGGCTGAACCGACTAGGTATGAGGGCTGTCCCGTGCCGGAGCGTTTCGCACAGTGACCGCGGAAGAAAGTCGCCGACTTCGGGCCTGACCGATCCGTCTGCGGGCGACTGCAGACGTTTGAAACGTGCCGCACTCCGCGAACATTGACCTGGGGAAGCGAAAGTCGGGACGTGCGTGCTGTCGCGGGTCATTGACGAGCGATAACAACCAGGTGTTGTGGGTTTCACGCCCCCCCCCCCGTCTAGCACGCTGTAGGATCACGTAGTAGCAAATAGCAAGCGGTGCGAGTGTCGTTCCTGACTCCACTTACATAAACTGTGTTTAGCCTTGCACGGTACACATGTCTGCGATCAGTCGACAGTCACGTTCAAAGAATTTGCTAAGAAGTGCTATGTGAAGCATTTAGGCCATGACTGGTATTGTGAGCCGATATTAAGCCGAATTATTGCGACATGTTGATGGCCAAAGCACGTCTCAGTTCGCCCGGTGATCTGATCTGGCTTGTGCGCTAAATGGGGAGACATGTTTGTTTGTCTTCGGTAGAAGTTATAAGAAGTCAAAGATGTCAGATGAAAGAGGAAGTAATAGTGGTTGTAGTATGAACATGGCCAATGACCACTGTATTGCAGATAGAACCTACGACTATGTGAGCTGATGCACCAAGATAACTTTGCGACTTCTCAGAAATGGAATCGAGTGATTGTGCGTCGCTCAGTAATAATCAGCGCTACAGCCGAAGGCTGGACTAACGACTATGTAATTCTGGTGTCGTCCGAGGGGAGAACACCGTATACTCTGCACTGTCTAAATATGTCTGAGTCTGCCGCCGCCGCCACTGGTGGTGCTGTAGAACGTTTTATAGCACACAAACAAGCAGCCACACTCACTAGCCATAAAATACATCTGCCAGACAGAAGGAACCCACGCGGTGTCGGGTACTTGTTTTCGTCACGGTAGTAAAGCAGAAGCTGCCGCGCCTCACACGTCATATTTCTGAGCACCGTGCAACCCGCCGTGTCACTGTGAGCTACTATGATCTGTGCCTGTTGCTGCCGAGCCACTGTGACCGGCTGTGTCTCTGTGACCTCATGTGACCTCCCGTGACCTGTTCTGACCCGCCCTAACCCGCTGTGCTACCGTGCAGCTGCGGGTCCCATGACGGGCCGTGCTTCTGTTAGTGTCCACACTGACGCATACCAGCAGGGTTGGCAGGGATGGGTGACCCAGAACGTCCGCACTTTCATTTTTCGCAGCCCGGAAGCGGTATGAGACGCCCTGTGGTTTCGGACAAAAGCGGGCCGAGTCGCATTGTGCTGCTGTCCCTGACAGTGTACCAATTTGCGTAATGCCTTGCGCGGGTACTAACTGCTGAAATAGACTCACAGGGACTAATTGGCGAGCTCGTGGCGTGAAATCTCTGCCTCTGTGTGTCAGTCTTTTGAGAAAACCGCGTGATTGCGCTTTTTTGTTCCCTCGGCTAAATTTGGCCTTGCTGCTGGATTGTTGCACTGATTTCATCGACCACTCAGGGAACATTACTCTTAAAAGTTTTTTATTTTATTTTAAAGTCCGTTTTGATTATTAATTGATCCAATGTCGGAAGTGAAGTAAGTCAAATTACGAGGTAGCACTTTACTAAGGGTTTCTTTTCTTGCAATCTGTGACAGTAAGAAAACGGGAACACATTAAGCCGACAAATACCCTGTTGAAATTATCTCATTTACTGTTCGATGAAGCGCGGCGCTGCTCTGTAACGTTGAGCTCTGTCGGAGACCTGTTAGCCGTTGGGGGTCAATTCGAGGTGTTGGCCGTTGGGTCGCTTCCCTCCCCCCGGCGGCGCACCGTCCGTGTCGCGCCGCCGGCCACGTTGCGACACGTTGCGGTCTCGCTTGGGGAGCGGACCGGGACTGGGACCACGCTGCCGGGACCGCCCCGGGGCAGACTGCGGTCCGCGACCGTTCACCACGCCTGCACTGGCGGTTTGAGAGCCACCGGCGCCAGTCACAGTGCACACGGCGCCGGTTTGAGGACCCCGGGACGATGACTGGGGTCCGGTGGGTGGGGCGGGGCGTTTAGGTACCTGTCGGTGACCTGACTGACCCAGTTTGCCATCACTGGACACGTGAAGGCAGCTCTGGTGTTATGTCACATACGGGAGAGATTGATAGGGAACAAACGTGATGGTAGCTGCATGTGAGTGATAACAGATGTGCTACATGTATACGTGAGTGCAGCTCTGTTGCCATGTCTCTCCAATGCGTCACCAACTGTAATGACCGTTATGCCACAGTCTACATCCATGAGAAAAGTGAGAAAAAAAAACATGAGAAACCATCTGATGGACAGTCATCGCAGTGCCCTACTCGCGCAGTACCCCTTACACAAGTACGCAGGTCGCAGTGTAGTGTCGGGGGTAATCCCCCGCTGAAGAACATCTCCGAATTACTTATATCACCAGCGCTCGTCCTCACAACAGAATGTGCTAAATAAGGTTTTTGTGTTAATGAAGTTCATCATGACACGCTATTCTGTTTTACATAGTCTTATTTCGTAACAAAGCCACACATCAGAGTGAGAACAATGCTGTGTTTCTGCATCACATGAGCCATCATGAGGTGTCCCTGACACACTAGTACCACTGTCGTATCACCTCTGTGACCGTTCTGCCTTGCCGAGTCCTTAACGACATCTCTGACGCCATCTGTGCTGTAACCCTGTTGCGGCACTCGGCTGCCCGGCGTGTGAACAATGCCTGACCGGTGACCTCTGTTTCAGGGGTGTGACCTCAGCGGCCGGCCGCCCACACGGCCACCATGGCCGGCAGCGTCCTCTCCGGCGTCGCTGTGGCGCTGCTACTGCTGCAGCTGACCGCCTGCGTCACCGCCAGGGCGTGAGTACCCAGAACGCTGCACGCTGATGGTGTTTGAGCGAATGGTAGAGTAGTTAGCAGGCGCAGCGGTCGTTTTCTGCGCGTCGCAGTCTCTTGGTGTTAGCCTTCTGTGATAGATGCAGTCTCCGGTGCTTTTGTCTTGTGAGGAGCTGCAGTCTCCAATGGCTACTTGCATTGGTGGTACAGCTCTGGCCAGAGTTGCAGGCTATTGCGTTTTTTCCTTCAAAGGCATGGAGAGTGAAGAAGTCTTGCGTCCATCTATATTGTTGAACATGCAGTTATCGATTGATATTTTACACGAACTGCTAAATGTCTTTATCATAAATCGCTAGGATTGTGAGCTGCTACTTATCGCAGTCGAGCCTTTTTAGAGCTTTGTCATTTTGAATTTTATTAAATCACGGTGCATAACATGCTCGTATGTCTAACCGTTTAACTAATTTTGTTTTGCGGAACTGAGGAGTTTTATGTATAATTCAGCGCAACAGTGTTTTGCCCTGGAATATCACAGCATTCCAGTGGGAGGCTAAGGGCAGACGGCACGCTTCCTTACCTTTCACGCGGTTTGCCAAACGGGCCGGCTGGTGTGAACCGCAGCGCCGCCGTTATGCAATAACCGTGTGTTGAACTACGTGCTTTGGCGAAATACAGCCGCGGGAGGGAAATAAAAAAATCCCAGACATTATCTCCCCGGAGAATGTCTGGTGCGACGCTTCGTGTCCGATGCGGTGGTTCGCTGTTTGATGCGACGGTCGGTTCGCTGTCGACTCACTGTTTGGTTCGTTTTCCCATGCGACGGTTCGCCGTCAGTTCGCTGTCCGGTGCTGTCCGGTCACGGTGCGATTATTCGCTGTCGACTCGCTGTCCGTTTACTGTCTGGTGCGGCGGTTTGCTGGCGGCCTGCTGGCCAGGTGGGCCAGTGGTGCCGTGCGCCGGGTCATTGGCCCGCTCGACGGCGACTCACTGACCTCAAAGTCGCCTGCCGCCCGCCGCCCGCCGCCCCACAGTGATGCAAATGGGGTTCACGAGTGGCCATAAATACCCAAAAGTCAGGTTTACCAAATCAAGTTAATTGCGATATGGCCGAGTAGACAAATGTTTGGGGCATCTGAAATCACATGGTTTTCATGTTTTTGCCAAAACCGGCCTCGTGTATAACCGTCAGAAGTCGTGACATTTTCTAGGTCGTAAAATGACGGTCAGACGCTCGCAAGTTCAAACGCCGCTGGTTTGCGTTCATTTCGTACAAATTGAAAAAAAATATGCATGGGAATGATCCTCAAAGCCTTCTGCTTCTAATGCCGGGTCAGAAAAAGCCGTATCTCATTCACTTTGGCGGTACTCTGATTATTTATCATCATGTTGCAATCGCAGTTGTTTACTAAGAAGAAAAATGCTTTCGTTTCACCTACAGCACTTAACACAGTGTGTGCCCGTTAGTCCACCATACCATAGCCTTCCCTAATCATTTCTGAGTCGCATCGTGAAAGAATTAAGGCACTAGCACAGGGCTGACCGGCGCTACAGAGGTTTTTGTCCGGGCGGTCGGGTGCCGCAGTGGGCGCGCAGTGGGCGGGTGGGTGCCGCCGCGCGGCGTCCGGGCAGCGCGCGGCGGCGCGGCCGCCCGGGCCGCCCGCTGCGCCGCGGCACCCGACCGTGCCGGACGAAAACTTCTGTAGCGCCGGTCAGCCCTGTGCTAGCGCCTTAATTCTTTCACGATGCGACTCAGAAATGATTAGGGAATGCTATGACTATAGTGCACTAACGGGCACACACTGTGTGAAGTGCTGTAGGTGAATTGAAAGCAAATATTTTTGGTAAAAAACTGCGGTTGCAACATGATTACAAATAGCTAGCTCACCGCCAAACCAAAATAGATACGGCTTTTTATGACGTAGCATTAGAAGCAGCAGGTTTCGGGGATCATTTTCATGTATAATTTTTGCAGTTTGTGTGACATGAACGCACGCTAGCGGCACTTGAATTTCAAGTACCTGACTGTCATTTTACGACATCGAAAATGTCTCGACTTCTGACAATCCTACACGAGGCCGGTTTTGACAAAAACATTAAAATCATACTTTTTCAGACACCCCAAACATATGCCTGTCTGACCATATTACGATTTATTCGATTAAGTGAACTTGAATTTTGGGCCCTTTTCGTATTTATGGCCACTCGTGAACCCCATTTGCATCACTGTGCGCCCGCCGCCCGCCGCCCGCGCCGGGCCGTCTCGAGCGGCCTCCTGACGGTGAGACGGCTCCGGTCGCGGGCCTCGGTCTGCTGGAGTGTTCCCAGCGGCCGGCGCAGCCACGGTGAGAGACGGTGAACGATGGCAGCCGCGGCGGACGGCGGCGCTTCCCAGGGAGGCGGCCGGCGGAACAGGTGTCGAGCGGCCCACCCCGCCCCGACTCTGCCCGTCTAGACCGCTCGACCCCGGGCTGTCTGGGCCGTCCCGACCTCCGACAGCCTAGCTCAGAAGTCTCAGCCGGCGCCCACCACACTAAATCAGCCCAGCGATAAGGAAAACACAGCGCGGGCTCAGAGGTGAAAAGAAGGTGTTGATACCTTCTTATCTACCACAAACTCAACAAGATTGAGAGGATTCAGTGAAACGAACCAAAATAAGTCCAAAATAAGCCATGGCTCACGTCCACACTTGGCTTCGGCATTATTAGCTGACGCCATGGGTTGTACATTTGAGCGGTTGTGACGGGTTTTTGCAGAGGATTAGCTACCTGAATTGTGTTCCCGCCGCCGTCTGGCAGCGCTGCTCGTCGCCCGTCTCCACCGGCGCCCGCCGACGCCCGGTCACGGTGAACTGATTCGTGAGCTCGTTTTCCTCTGTCGGCGGTGCGTGTCGCGTGCGACCGCAGCACGTCGGGCCTTACACAAGTCACGACCGTCCGCCGGCTGCTGTCAGCTGAACACCGCTCTGGAGGCACACACGCGGTGGTGTAATGTGTTGGCACAGTGCTGGTGGATTTTATCGTCAAGCTTGTCAACGATCAGAAACATCAGAGCACGATCAAATCCGACGCAGTTAGATATGCCTTCGTCTTATGTGGATTTATTGACCTTTTAGGTACTCGGTCTTCTTTGTAAGAAGAAGCATGTGGAGAATGACACTGATGCGAACAAGCACAATCGACAATCGCTTGTGAGTTAGTTTCTGGTCTAAGTTCATTCTGAACTCTGAATCATTGCATCCTGCCGGGGCCGACTCCGTGTGGCCTCCCGTGATCGGGGAGAGGCTGTACCGCGAGCTGATGACGTTTGACGGTGACGCCATCCTGTCTGAAAGTGACGTCACCCACGGAGACATCTCCGGCTGTTACGGCGCCTCTCTGTAATGAGTACCAGGATGATATCTCACAGAAGTGACTGGGGGATTCTGTACGCATCAATGCTTACAATAAAAGTTTTATTCAGTTAATCGTCCTCATCCGTCTTCTACCCTAATCTTTGGCTGTCTTTTCATGCCGCCTGTAAGAAAATGATTTTATGTTTAACACCTCATACATGTCCTTTATTTTTTACCTCGAATCATAAATAATTATCGTTAAAAAAAACTAGTGAATCGCAAAGTCATCGGTCATCAGTCGACCGATGGGGTTTCAAGCCATCAATTTACCGCCAACGCGTCCCGTCTAAACATCGGATGGTCTTCTCTCGATTACTGGTTCGTGCGCCGAGTCCCGCCCTGTCGTGTTGATAGCGGTGACGCAGCTGGAGTCAGTGGGTCACCCACGTGCCGCGTGACGAGACTGGTGCGTCACGGCTCGACCCCTGGTGCGTCACCGCTCGCCTCTGGTGCGTCACCTACGCATTCAGTGCGCCGCTCGCTGCCTGCCGAACCACGCCGTGTGCTGCGGGAGAGCTCCCGAGCGTTCTGCCTCTCGCTCTCCCACGTTTTCTCCTGCCGTTCCCAGCGGTCCGCTCTCTCCCAGGGAGGGGTCGGGTATAGTTGAAATGGCGTGTGTGTGACTTGAGACAGTAAATTGGTCACATTTATGGATACCTATTTCATAACACAGTTAGGCGTCATTCATTTTATGATAAGATATTCCCAACACTCACAACTCTGAAACGGACGAGTCGCCAACGAGTCGTAACGAGCGCGCCGCTACGATGCCCTTGTCACTTCCCTCAGCCTTATCGAATTCAGCGGACTCTTCAGACGGCTGTGCATCTTTGACTATCCGCTGATCTAGGCGGGCCAATGACTCCGTTCTGAGTCAGCTGGCAGGCTGACTCTGAGCCGTGCTGAGTCAGCCCGGCGCCCCGCCCGCTGCGGGCGCGTCACGCGCGCCGGAAGGAGAAATTTGCGCGTGGCGCGAGCGTCATCTGCTCAGTTGCGCCACATTTTGCGGCTGGCTGTCCGGGGACGGCACTGGCGAGCGCCCGGCTGTGACGGGTCGGCTAGCTGGGTCGGTGACCTGAGCCGCATCTGTGACTTTGTTTATGGCCTGTTTGCGTAAATGTTTTGAAGCTATAAAAACTTCTCCAAAGAAACGTTGCGGATATTTGATGAGAATACCTAATCAAAACGTCATTCCATCGAGCGTCTTTATTATTGTCATGTGGATTCTGGAAACATAAAAGTTTAACATCCTACTGAGGTTCCTGGCAACCAACTGCGTCTGGACTTCAGGCTTTGAAACGGTGTCTTAATGAAGATTTATGCATCTCTCTCAAACGAAAACAAAGCGTGAAACGAATATGTTCTGCTACGCGGAAACCCCTCATGTTTCACGTTGTCGCTGTGGTTTCTCCCCCGGACGTTTCGCTCGTTGTTTCTTTCTCCTGCATTATTCCTTGCCATCTATTCCGACCAGTCGAAGGGAACGAGAAAGCTGCCCGGCTTGGCAGGGCGTTGGCGGCCGGAGTGTCACCCAGATGTTGTCAGAAGTGATACCTGCACCGGGCGTCAGATGGTGTCACTCGCGCGTAATGGTGTCACACGGCCCACAGCTGTCGGCCGGAATTAACTGCAGCTGCCGTCAGACGGCTGTCAGCTGCTTTCAGAGCTGCAGCTGCTGTCAGCTGGTGCTCTGACGGCTGCAGTTCAGTGTCAGCTGGTGCTCTGACTGACCGGAGGCCCAGGGGCGTGTCGTAGACGGCGACTGAGATTGCGGATCTGTATCTAGGTCTGGGTGGAGCGGCTTTCTTTCCTCCCTCTCTCCTTCTCTCTCTCTCTCTCTCTCTCTCTCTCTCTCTCTCTCTCTCTCTCTCTCTCTCTCTCTCTCTCTCTCTCCTCTCTCTCTCTCTCTCTCCTCTCTCTCTCTCTCTCTCTCTCTCTCTCTCTCTCTCTCTCTCTCTCTCTCTCTCTCTCTCCTCTCTCTCTCTCTCTCTCTCTCTCTTCCTTCCGTGCTCTCCCATTCACTATCTTCTCTATTCATTTCTTGTCTCTTTTTTGTCTCTTTCTTTTTTGCCTTAATCGTCTTGCCTCTCAACAGGGGTTGATAATTTCTTGCAAATAACATCCGATGGTTTGGTTTGCAAGTTTTGCTCTGCTTGCAACTAGCCAGGTTTTAGCTCCAACGCTTTGGACGGTACTCGTCGTGGCCCCGTGCCACACTGATTGAAATTTGGCTACCGTGTCTGTCACGGTGCTCCCAATTTGGGACATCCTGGCCGATATTTTCCTGGTGCAGAGCTGACGTCACATCTGACCCGCCCACCAGCCATTTATGCACCGTGGGCCGAGCGGCCTTGGCTGGAGCCCGTGTCGGCTGAGACGCCTAGATTAGAGGCGATGTATTGACAGGATGGCCTTCCACCGCAGACCTGCTATCTGTGCAGGTTTGTCTTTCAATCCCCTGTGTTGCAGGGCCGTCTTATTGGTCGGGAACATTCGAAAGAAGCTCTGACTCCAGCAGGTGTTTACTTATGTCTGGTAGCCCGATGGAGGAGTCTCTGATCTTGTCAGACCAGACCTGCCCGTCTGTCTGCCAGCTGCCTACAGAAACTCCGACCTTGTCAGGACCGCCCTCATGCCCTCCGCTGTGGCGGGGGGGAGACACTGGCCCTGAGGGCCGCCCTCATACCTGGCAGTCGGCCGGACAGTCCGGGCGCCCACCGGGGCCCGCTGCGGGCCGCCGCCGGGCCGTTGCGAGCCCGGACCTTGAGCAGCCGCCCGGAGGAGCGGGTCCGTGGTGCAGTCCTCGTTTGGCGCTGCGGGCCGGTTCCTCCGCCCACGGCGGGTGGTCAGCCGCGGCGGGCTGAGGAAGGCTGGCCACCGAGCCGAACAGCGGCCAACACACAGGAAACCCGCCAGCATTTACACGGAAAACACGCGCCGGAGAGAACTGACCAGCCGCGTGGGAGGTGCCGGATATAGGCCGAACTGCGCGGGACTCAGAACCGCCGGACCGGCAAACCGCGCTGGAGAAAAACATACGTGACGTGAATAATGAACAAACCGGTTCCGAAGCGTATGGGTAACTTCTTAGTTGCGCTGCCGTAATCCGTCAGTTTTAACCCGCACGCAAGCAAGAGCTCGATTGAACGCTGTATGTTTTGTTCTTTACTTACATAAACGGCATCACCAATACCGACAATATACACGAATATCTCTCGAGTCTGTGTTCAATGTTTACTCCCCCGCAAAAAAGGCATAATCGTCCTTTCCATTTATGTAACCTCGTGCTCCCCTCTCCCACAGAACGTACACGATCGTGGCGCCGCGCGTGCTGCGTCCGAACCTGCCGTTCAACGTGGCGATCACAATTCTGGACACGACGGCGCCGACACGAGTCACGGTGCAGGTCGGCGGTAGGCCCGACTCGGGAGGCAACGAACTCAAGACCAAGGAGGTGGTGGTGCAGCCGGGCGTCACCACCTTCACCACCTTCAACGTCAGTGTCACACTCGGCGGAGGGGGGAAGGGGGTATTGGGGCTCAGCGGGGAGGGCAGGGGAAGGGGAGGAGATGGAGGGGAGCACTGGGCTTGGAGGGGCTGGGCCGGGAAAGGAGGGGCGGGGGTGGACTGGTTATGGTCATGGTGCATTTTGGGAAGAACGTAGTTGAGTTTTATTCTTTGCAAGCAGTCAAGGTAGCCACTTAGTACATAACATCTAAAAAAGGTGGTCGACCGTGCTCCTGATTGGCTTAATCTGTTGCCAGGGGTTCCAAATAGAGTTCATTGCCTATCTTTAGGGTACCAGGAATTATGTAAGGGCGCGTTTCCTGTATTGTTTATATCCATTTTTGAAAAGGTGTGTTGTCGAACACGTATGTGCAATTCCAGGTAGGTATGTAGTTCAAGAACTCGAGTCTGAGAGTTATGCCGGGGGAAAAGTGTGCCTTACACGGGTCTTGTTTTCCTTGCCTGCTGCGGCCATGCTCATTGCAGCGCGGTCGCAACTCGCGAACACCGCTTCATATTTTTCTGTAACCGTTGATCTATACCGTTGATAATCCGTGTATTATTGTGGTATCAAATATCACCCAATAACCATCGCTGGAACCGGTGAGACCGAGCGGCAACAAGCTTTGCTTAGCTGCGGGGTCTCACTTGGCTCCAGCAATAGCAATTTGCTAAAATGACCAGATAATGTATGCATATATTATTTTGCATATTACTCAGAAAATTGTATAAATGTTAAATTCTCTGCATGGCTGGGTCTCCCATGATCACTTTAACCTTTTTTATTGGGGATTGTAGTGGGGGGTCAGTCAATGACTTATGAGCTCATTGACTACTTTCTATCTTATGATTATACCATGCCTACATCCTCGCTTCCTTCTTGTCTTCTTTTTATTTCTTTTCCATTTCTTAGCTGGGAGTGCCGCGACATTGCTTTTTTTGTTTTTCTCTGGTGTTAACGTAAGGGTACTGTGTGTCGCTGGGTTCGAGGGTGGGGGCGCTCCTGGTCACCTATTAATGGGTGGCGGCGTATAAAAAATCTAGTGAACCGTTACGAATCAGTGACCTGTGACCCTTGTCCTTAAACAGGTGACCTCTGACCTCTGCCCGCAGATCGGTGACCTCTGACCTCTGCCCCCATATCGTTGACCTGTGACCTCTGCCGGCAGATCGGTGACCTTGACCTCTGCCCCCATATCGTTGACCTCTGACCTGTGCCGGCAGATCGGTGACCTGGGCCCGGGTCGGTACAACCTGACGGCCGCCGGCCAGGGCGGACTCAGTTTCCAGAACACCACGGCTCTGGAGTACGTGCACAAGTCGTACTCTGTGTTCATCCAGACGGATAAGGCCATCTACAAGCCTGGCGACCTGGTGCGGTTCCGGGCGGTGGTCCTGAACCCCAGCCTGCGACCGCACACCGCCGGAAACCTCAACGCCTGGGTCACCGTGAGTACCTACTGAGTACTGCTTCTGTACTGAGTACTGTACTGCACCTGTCGGTACCTGAGGCATTGTTCTCAGAAGAATGCAAATCGCTGGTTAAACTCCGTAGCCAAGCATGGTAGGTCAGGTCACCATGCCCGGATCCTGTTCGGCGGGCCCGCCTTGTGACGCTGTTTGAATGGCGCAGTTTGCATGACTCTCTCAGTGAATCAGGCTGCAGTGTGGACCGGATCTTGTTTTTGTTGCATAATAATGCGCGATATGTGGATTGTCATGGGCGCAACAATATAACCGGAAAAGCAGGGAGGCGAATAAAACATGAGGGAAGGTCATGAATAGATGTCCCTCGTTCCGGCGAGTCCTGTCAGCTGAGTGAATCACATTTCGTTAGTGGAACGTTTTAGAAATGAAGTCGTTTGACCTCAAAATTCATATGAAATATTGCGAATCAACTGGACACCCATTTAAATAATTCAAAATATGTCAGGTGTTTGAGTGTGATTTTATAGACATAAAAAGAATGACGGCATCACCATTGTCACTGCCAGCGCGATGCGGCATGTTCTGCCGGTTTACAATGCGAGGTTCATAATTGGACAGCATTAATTCAAATGGGTGCCGACGTAATCACTCACTGCAGCCGTATGGTCAACATTTCCAGCGTTCATCGCTAGTCCTATTCCCATGTTGGTAATCAACTTTCCCTTTGTATCGTTATGCTGCAGTCGTGTAGGGGTTTCACGCATCGGAACCTGCAACCTTTTAATGGTTCCCCCCATGTACAGACCTTACGTTAATCAAAGTTACTCTACAATGCCCGCCTGCCACCCGGGTGTATTAAACTAAGCGGCCCGTATGATTGTTCGTTCACGTTCACCGTGTATCAGCCCGGCATCTGCCTTTACCCAATCCAAAGATTTGGCTCACATTCCCATTACGCTGTATTGTCGTATCGCTAGACCAGGGACATTTATGGTCCACACACTTACACTCACGCACACTACCCATATCACACCTCCAAACGCACACTCATTCACGCTACGCGCCGCGCCGCGCCGACGAATATAATTTAGACGGGACTGTCCTGGATATAAACGGGAGTGCCCACCGCAATTTGCGGCGGGTCGGGGAGCCAAATAAGATCCAGGACATATGTCGGGGACTTCCGCAGCGCCTGGGCGCTGCGGCATTAATTTAGGGGGGGATGGAAAAATTCGCTTACCGAAAGATGTTGCCCCGACGACACCGCACTGGCAAATGCCTCGAGAGACGGGCCCGCGAGTCCCAGGTGCCGGCCAGCCGCAGCCTTTCACCCGGCGGGCACGCCTTTCCCGCCGGAGGCTATCGTACGGCGGACTGGCCTTACACGCACTCTGGTACTCCGGCCCGCCGCTCCTCTCCGACGTATAAATTTTGCCCTTACAGTCGCAGCAAAGCTGATGGCTAAATCATGATCTAAACTGGATATGAACTCGTGATAATTGAGCCCTCAGATAACGAGATTTCACTCCAATTTACCAGTGTATCCTGTTCCCGCCTCGCAACAATTATTAGCTGGGCTCCAAACGTTATTCCTTCGCCAAATTGAAAGCGTGATAGGCCGGGTTAACTATCCCGTGCTCATTATCTCGTAATAATTACCTACATTTCGCTTTCCGTCGACCCCAATCCATGCCATCCCTCGTCTCTTTTTTGGAAAGCCGCTGGCTGTTGTCTGTGTGTATGTGGGGTGTGTTTCGAGACTGACTGTTGTCTGTGTGTATGTGGGTGTGTTTCGAGAGCCGCTGACTGTTGTCTGTGTGTGTGTGCGTGTCTGCAGGACGGAAAGGGGAACCGGATTCAGCAGTGGGACCGTCAGTTTACCACCAACGGCGTGTTCACCAACTCCATCCAACTGTCTGACCAGCCCGTCCTCGGCGACTGGAACCTCACGGTAAGGCGGTGGGACGGCTGGAACCTCACGGTAGGGCGGTAGGAGGGTGGAACCTCACGGTAGGGCGGTAGGACTGCGGGAACATCACGGTAAGACGATAGGATGGCGGAAACCTCACGGTAAGGCGGTAGGTCGACTGGAACCTCACGGTAAGACGGTAGGACGACTGGGACCTCACGGTAAGGCGGTAGGACGACTGGAACCTCACGGTATAAGATGGCGGGAACCCCAGTGAAACGGTAAGAACCTCACAGTTTGATGGCTGGAACCTCGCGATACGACTGCCGAATTATTCTTCAGGCTGCCGTTCTTTCCATGATATTTACAACGCAAAGTAAAGCTCAGTGCTGATTTATGCACAACATGAAATTAAATTTGTCGTAGATATGCTTTGAGTCGCTCTCAAAACCCTATCGCTATGTGTGTCTAACGCTCGAGAATGGGCTATTGATCTTCTCCGACCATCTCCCTACTGAGACTAACCCTGTGTCGGTGCCGGTCACCCTCAGATTGACGTGTTGGGCCAGCGGACGAGCAAGGTGTTTGAGGTGGCCGAGTACGTGCTGCCGCGGTTCGAGGTGACCATCGACCTGCCGCCGTACGCCACCTTTGACGACACCAGCGTCACCGCCACCGTACACGCCAAGTGAGTGGATAGGAGAACGCTGTACTGATTACAGACTGGGTGAGTGGGAGGGGAGTTACTCTTACAGACTGCGAGAGTGGTAACAAGTTGTTACGAGTGTCGTCTCACGCCCCATTACCAGGCTGATGACGGGTGAGAGGGCTGCTCGGACTTAGTGTGAATGCATCGGAGGGAGTAACACGGGCTCAGTGATCAGGATAAGGTTACACAGGCCTATTATTGGGATAGTTTTTATGTTCAGTCAGTTTTTAGTTTCAATTTCACACTTTGTACGAATAAAAATACTCTGCTGCTGGCTTTATTTGTTTTTATGCCAGTACTGAAAAGCTACGTTACCATTCCCAGCAATTGCGTCTGTCCTCCTTCAATGCTAACCTCCCACCCTGTTCCCCAGGTACACGTATGGCAAGGCGGTGCGAGGCGAGGTGATGGTCCGCGCCCACCCGGAGCTCAAGTCCACCTACCTACAGCCCATCTTCCAGGACCCTGTGCGGAAGTCGGCGCCCATTGACGGCACCGCCGACGTCACCTTCAACCTGAAGGACGAGCTCGGGTAGGTCAGAGGTGTGAGAAGGGTTAGATGTGAACACTGTTAGAGCGGTGTGAGAAAGGCAGCAGTGAGTTGGAGCGGTGTGAGCAGTATTACGGGGAGTGTGCAGTGTTGGGGCTGTGATCGGTATTATGGCGGTTGGTGGTTCAAGGGCAGGGCTAGTTTGCACACAAACAGTGGTGGAGAGGAGGGCAGGAAATGGAGTCAGTTGGGCTGAGCACAATTGATGTTGACCCCGCGTGTGTGTTGGTGGGGGGGGGGAGAGGGGGCGCACAGTGAACTAACAGGGGCGTCCTGGTGCCGGCCGTATGCAGAGGCACGGCCTCAACGAACAATGAGAGTGTATAAATAGTGAGTGAAACCGTGCTGATATTTTTCGTGTTTCTTTAGTTCAATTAAAATTATTAAAGCTTACATTTTCCTTCGTCATATAGTTTTTGTGTTTCGCTCGTGTTATGCATTGGCTTTGCTATTCGGTTCCTCTTGGCATTCTCTGACGTCATATCCCCCGTTCACCCCAGTCTGACCAATGAGGACTACGAGCGGGAGCTGGTGTTTGACGTCATTGTGACGGAGGAGCTGACGGGCCGCGCGCAGAACGCCTCGGCCGTCACCACCATCCACCGTCACAAATATACCCTGCAGCTAGTGAAAACCGCCGAGAACTTCAAACCCGGACTCAAATACACCGCCTTCGTAAGTGGATACGCTGTACCTCAATTTTAGCTGTCGTCTTTTCAAAAATTTTCATTTTCAGGTTCATAGTGAAAGGTCGTTTAGTGAAACTGTCATTTTATATTAAATCTGTGTCTCTTAGCAGTTTCAAAATGTTATTGACGTTTCGACTTTATTACCCAGAAACCAGTATTGTTTTTGTTTTGTTTTTGTTTCGTTGGGTTAGGCCCTTTCGGTCGACAAGACCATTGCAGAGCCGGAAGGATGATAGGAATTAGGGGGAGACATTGGTCTGGGCAGGCACCCTAGAGAGTCGCCGGGGCTGAGCCCGTCCAAATGGACAGGCCGACCAGCCCTCCAAGCACTCTCTGCACCCGGCTACGGGGTGCAGCTCCCTCGGGAGCAGCGGTGCCGCTCCAAGGGAGCAGCCCGCATGAGATAAAGTTGCCTGTCCAGCCCGGAGGGGGGTTGCGGCTTGGAGGAGAAGGATTTCAGTATCCTGAGGATAGAAGCACGGATAGGTGAAACCAGTATTAATTGTATTACCCTTATATACGCCATTAATCCCACTGTAAACTCATTCCGTAGTATAACCTGTGATGTCGGCGTCCGACAGCTGAAGCTCGCCACCCAGGACGACATGCCGGTGCGGGGCGGCCGGGACAAGGTGACCGTCAAGTACGGCTACACGTACAACCACGAGAACTACACGGTCACCGAGTACGACGTGCCGTCCAACGGCCTGCTCGAGCTCACCTTCTTCCCACCGGCCGACAACGACACGCACGCGCTCGGCATAGAGGTAGGACAACCACGCCTTATTTGTTCGTCGTTCCGGGAGTCTGCTGAAATTTACCTGTATATTTTTTCATCTAGTAATTGTGTGATATTTCGTTGGCCATTGACAATAGCTAGATCTTATTTACTTGTTTTGAAACTAGTTATGAAGTATCAGCTCCGTAGCATGTTCCTTCTCTTCGCAAGTGAGTACCCTAACTCCTTAATTTCACAGGCGGAGTACAAGGGCGTGAACCAGTGGTTTTCGACCGTCAACAAGGCGCTGTCTCCGTCCAACTCGTACATCCAGGCCACGCTGGAGACGGAGGAGCCGCGGGTGGGTCAGCCGGTCACTGTGAGGATCAACTCGACCCGGCCGGTGAACCAGTACGTGTACGAGGTGCTCGGTCTGGGCCAGCTGCAGTTCGCCGAGACCATGAACGCAGGAGGAGCGACCACACACCAGTTCAGGTGAGAGGGGAAGAAGGGAGGTGGGGACTAAACAATGGTTATGGTCTGCAGAAGCAGAGAGAGGATAGGCGGTAGTGTCGAAACAGTATAAATTTATCCATTTTGCTAGAGCGACAGAAAACAGATGACCAGAGATTCTAATGCATTCAGCATGATGTTACGCTGGAAGAGCCTGGAACGGTTGAGCCGATCGGCATCAATGTATCTGTTGAAGACGCGTCTGAACCCGGCAGCCGTAAGGAGGTATCAATGCTTCCGTCCCGTGACACTGCCCTACCACCGTCGCCAGGTTCACCATCCGTAAGGACATGGTGCCCCGCACGCGAGTGGTCGTCTACCACATCCTGCCGGACGGAGAAGTGGTGGCCGACGCGCTCGACTTTGACGTCATGGGAACATTCCAGAACACGGTAAGTAAATAAGTCTCGTCGGAAAAAAAGAAACGGCCGGCTGTTTTGTATTTCCGCAAAGTGTGTGGAAAGTGCTGGCATGCTTCCACTCACCTTAACATATTGATATGAGGGCTTTGTTGAACTGTATTATTATCTCCGATATCTTTATCGATATCTCCGATTATCTTTATATTACCTCCGATATCTTTCTGTCATACCTGAGCACAGGTATTTATTTATATTTTCCAATGTCTCTGCGTCAGGTGGACATCGAGCTGGGTGCCAACAAGGTCGAGCCCGGTCAGGAGGTGGACATCAAGATCAAGACGCGGCCCGACTCCTACGTCTGTGTGCTGGGAATCGACCAGGCCGTCACCGTGCTCAAGTGAGTCCCGGCGCCGTCATAGAGCGGAACTGTGTCTGACTATGTGCCGTGAAACTATTAAACATCCTACGCTAGCTGCGTAATCACGCTAGGAACTGCTGTGTTACAGTTGTGTGTGGGTACTGAGAGTATCTTATTGATGCGGTTTTGTGTTACCGTTTTCTCAGGTCGGGTAACACTATCACCCATGTTTGGACGTTATAATGTCTCACTAATACGTACCTCTCGGTGTTACCGCTCTATCAGGTCGGGTAACGACATTACCCAGGCGGACGTTACAATGTCTAACCCGTACCTCTATCTGTGTTACCGCTCTATCAGGTCGGGTAACGACATTACCCAGGCGGACGTCTATGAGGAGATGGAGAGCTACGACTCGGGCCGCCGCCCGGACGGTCTGCCCTACCTGGAGAGGCAGAAACGGTCGCTGTTCTTCTGGCCGGGAACATCCACCGCCAGTCAGGTGTTCGAGGTGAGTTTCAATCGGGGTTTACTGTCACGCAGGGGTTTGATGTGAGTCTCAGTCGTGCTTTACATGGTCACTCAGGTGATCTATTACTCCAGAAGTGAATTCTTGTGTTTGTCAGGTATTGTAATTTCTATGTGAGTTCCAACGCCAGCAGTATAGGTTAGGTTAGGGTTAGATTCAGTGCTAGAATCCGAGTACCTCAGCTGGTCTTTTACGCCGCTAGTTGAAATAAAACATATGTGCGTGCTGCGATAGCCTCAAGGATTGGACCTCAGATGTTGCGCGAGTTCTTTGGGATGTGTCATGCGACGGCCTGGATCTGACGTGACTGAGCATATTTTTGACCGACGAATGTCACTGTCATTGAATTTCAAATGGTGTTTTTTTATTATTCCAGGATTCCGGCGTTGTCATGCTGACGAACGCGTATGTGCACGAGAGCTTTCATCTGAGTGAGTACTCTGTTGAGCGCGCACCCCACTGGCGTATGGTTAGCAAATCACTTACTGATAGTCACTTATTAGTGTCATGCGACCGAGTCCGAGAGTCGTTCTTCCGTTTTTTATGTGTAATTTATGACCGGCATTAATGTCAATTAGTCCACGATTGTGCCTAGTAAAATCTCTATCATGCTGGAAATTCATCACGTCATTCTATTTCGTGTAAGTATCTCTTATTCAGCTAAAAAGAGGCCATTACCTGTGATATTTTTCGCGACTTTTTAAAAACTTCGGCTGCTATCGTCAAAACGATGTCGAAAATTGGCAAGTGAGATATCATTGTTTTTTTCATGTTTATCGTAGTGTCCTCAATTACTCAATAGCTCACCATGATTATCCGTTTGTTGCTTGTCGTACCAAACTGCTGCGTTTGCATCTTTGTCCGCTGAATTCACATTCCCGTTCAAAGTTCATTTTTATCCATCCACTGTCAGTCTGTCGTGTATACCCGCTCAGTCTGTATGTCTGTGTCTGTGTATGTCTGTGTCATATGTCAGTATGAATTGTGCCCACGTGTGGGTCTGAATGTCTATATAACGGCCGCCCGCGGCAGTGTGGTACCGCACACTCAGTCTGTGTGTCTGTATGTGTCTGAATGTCTGTATGACGGCCGCCCGCGGCAGTGTGGTACTGCACGCTCAGTCTGTGTGTTTGTGTGTGTCTGTATATCTATAGGGTGAAGTCGTATAAGAGTACGCACTTAGTGGATTTCTTGCTCTCATTTGTTTAATATTTGAAGGAAAGAAATCGCAAATAGGGAATATTAAAGTTCATTAAATTAGCCATCAACCCATGGGGCAACGAGCCTTCAGCGTAAATGGAAGTGGTCTAAAACTGACATTTTCTGAACCGTTGCACTTGCGTACTCTTACCATATGGGGTGTGTAAGAGTACGCACGCCAGGCGGGTGGAGTACGCAAGCATATGAACACACACCTATGCAGCTTGCACTGTCCAAATGCTTAACTTCAAACTCAGAAGGTATTTAAGTTAATTCTAGTATCCAAAAAGAGAAACATAAAAAAATCGTTCAAGTCTATAAATCAGGAAATAATCATGTCGTGTGTTTCTTAAAAAAATGCACAATCAAAAAGGAGAATAACTCGTAGTTGGAAGAATTTCGGGTACGCATCTGCATCACAGTGCTCCATTGATGATAGGTATACCTACAAAACAATCGTCATTGAGCGATAAATTAATAATTATATATTTCTGTATATTCGATTTAATGTATAATTCTGCGTACTCTTACCCTCCTGAACAGTACGTCCTCTTACCGTACATGCAATTCGCGCACAAAACAACCCCGAAACGTTGTGCAAAACTTCGCAAACAGAATATTGCACTGTACAGTATTTCCCCAGATAACCTCACAAGTTTCCAACAACAATCACGGAAATGTACCTTATCTCAACTGCCAAGTATCAAAATTATTGTACCATATCATAATAATATCATAACGCTCGAAAATAATATTCATCGCCTTAAACTCAACAGCGTCACCGCTCAACGCCCACGTTCCGTTGGTGACATGCACGCACTGGCGGCTTCATGTCACTTCATGAACTCGACAAACCTGCGTTGCTAAGCAACCGAAACATCTGGTGCGTACTCTTATCGCCCGCGTACTCTTACCCGCCCTTACCCTATGACGGCCGCCCGGCGGCAGTGTGGTACTGCACGCTCAGTCTGTGTGTTTGTGTGTGTCTGTATATCTATATGACGGCCGCCCGCGGCAGTGTGGTACCGCACGCTCAGTCTGTATGTGTGTATGTGTCTGTATGTTTCTGTATGTGTCTGTATGTGTCTGTATGTGTCTGTATGTGTCTGAATGTCTGTATGATGGCCGCCCGCGGCAGTGTGGTACCGCACGCTCAGCGAAGACGACCTGGTACCCATGGCCAGCGAGCCCGGCTCGGTGGGTCCGACCGGGCCGCCGGCCGACGGCGCCGACACCCGCGTGCGCTCCAACTTTGTAGAGACCTGGCTGTGGACGAACGTGACCGCGGGGTACGTCCGGAGGGGAGGGGGAGGGGGTCACGAGTCTGACGCACACACCGGGACGGGCACCGACGCATGCCCCCCCCCCCCCGTCCGTCCTCCCCGTCTGTTTGACACCCCACCCGGCCTGGCCCCGTGTCGGGCGCATTGTCCGTGGTGTCTGCGGTTCCTTCTGCTGCCTTCACTGACCGCTCTCTGAGACTATGTCTGCTTGTCTGGGAGTCTGTCCGCCGGTTTTGGTCTCACGGGGTGACCCGACCTTTAACACACAGACACCACACGCCCGGACGGCCGATCATACCCTCCTGTAACTCTCCCGGCCCGCCGCTAACTCTCCGCGCTCTGTGCAGCCTACTACAGGTCGGCCGGCGCCGGCGCGGGGCCGCGCCCGCAGCAGGGACCGCCCCAGTACCTGGCTGCTTTCGGCGAGGCTCCCAGCGACAGCAGCGCCTCCGGTGGCCGGCTGCGAACTAACTTTCCTGAGACGTGGCTCTGGACAAACACGGCTGCCGGGTACATATAACGCTGCGCGCGCCGCTCTAACCGCTGCTAATGGGAGGGAAAGCGACCGAGGACAGATGGAGAGACTATGACGATGGACGGAACGACGGGATGAAGGAACTTACTCGAGACGAGATGACGACAGACGGAGACGGATATGACGAGAGACGGAAAGACGGAAACGATAGACGGAGACGAAAAGGACGAGAGAGACGGACGGAGGGCTGACGAAAGGCGACGGAGTGGAATTGGGGAGCTGAGATGACCGGCAGACACCACCAGACTCTGCAGTTCACCGACAAGACTTGCTGACACACTCAGCTACGATCCGACCCGCTGATTCCGTCTCCCATCCCGGCCGGGCCGCGGCGCCGGTGCTGCCGCCTATCGGTGACCTCTGCGTCTGTGTTTTCGGCCGTGTCCGTCGGCAGCTGACGGCGAGGAGGGCGCCGAGATTGGTAAGCGTCCCAGCTCGCGGCCCATCCGCCCTCTGGTCTATCGGAACGAGAGCACGGAGCTGCGCCCGGACCGCGGGCCGGGCATCGAGTACCGGCCCGTCACGCGGCCGCCGCTGGCCGGGCCGTTCGCGTTTTTCACGATCCCGGCGCCGTTCTACCATCACCGGCGAGTCAATGTGGTCAGGGACCCGCCCAACACGTGGATCTTCGCCGACGTGCCGACGGCCGGGTAAGGCCCGCCGCCAGCGGCAGGAGGTGCGCGCTGCTGACGCGGGCCGCCGGAGGTGGGACGCTGCTAACGCGGGCGGCGGGAGCATGGTGTGCAGAGGCCGGCCAGGTCCGCGGCTCTCACCTCTCGTCAGCGCCGGTCGTCTCACCTCTCGCCGAGAACTCACCAACCGCTGACACCGCCCCAGAGTTAACCAGCGCCGCTAAACCTCCGTCGGAAATCTCACCGCTCACCAAACATCTCTCCTAACGCGCTAATTCTACGCTTTTCTCCTCTTGGCTCTCCCCTTAAGTTAACTGGCAATCTCAGTAAGCTCCTTTCTCTGAATGAACATCCCTCTGTTCAAATACCCAGACAGGGGCTGGGGAACCTCCCGTCTGTCGTCTGATCGCCAGTGTCCTGAGTCCCCGTGACTCTGCTTGCAGACACCGTGCCGCTAATGGCCACCCCGGGCAAAACGATAATCCGGCCGCCTCTAAAACGGCCGCGGCCCCCTCCGCCACCGCCGCAGGACTTCGCGTTCCGTCCTCGAGACTATACCCCGCGAGTGTGGATCTTCAACGATACCAACTCAGGGTAAACCTGACTGGATCGCGAGCGGATCTATGGCTGGATCTCGTATGGCTCATTTCTAGGGAGCTCGGGCTGAATTGTGGAGGCTCCGCTGTGGACCCGAACTGGATCTCTGGTGGATCTGCGGTGGATATTTGACAGACCTCTGAGGGAAATAGAGAGGTCTTCTGAGCACGCGCTGGCGAGAGATGGGCTAGACTTGCATCTAGCATGCGCCACAGACCTTTGCCGCCATTGGTAGAATGGCTAACGGGACTCACATTCATCAACTAACGAAATTATACACTCTCGGAGGTTAGCTTCCACTGCCACAGACAATTTGCGACTCTGATCCTATTATTTGCAATGGCTGATTCATACTCGAAATTTTAGATGATCCAAACTAGAGATGCCACAAATTTGCAATTTCATTACCCGCCCCGCCCCGCAGCTACCCCTTGCCCAACCACAACTACCCGCAAGCTGATTTTGGCTGAGCCGAACCCGCAAAAAACCCGCAATTTTAAAAACCTGCCTTTGCAAGAAAAAAATACAGCTGGGTCAATGCTAGCGCTATATAAAATATAAACCTTAGGTACTTGCTTCATTGCTGTGCAGAAAAAGACAGCCAAACAAATAGTAAGGACTTGAAATTGCTATGCTAAGTCCTCAGGAAGTGCACACTGGATAGTGGAAAACGAATAATGCATCAATATGTTTGAAATTCCTTTCTGAAAAGAATTCAGTAAAATATTTCTCTCACCTGACCTTACCCTTCAGCATTGGCTGAGGATCAAAATTTCACTCTGGCTCCCTCTCAATGTTAGGCTTCTGGAATGATAGTTATCAAAATGAATGTTGATATAAAAAGATATGCGATTTCCAGTTAAAAATAAATAGTGACACGGTGAATAATGAGTATCCAGTCGATCTACACATAAAACAAATCATGCAAAATCCCAGCAAAAACCAACTAAGGCTCTCTCTATCGTCTGGACGTTTTGAAAGATGCTCTCCAGAGATGGCGCTAGTAAGTTTGGCTGCCATGACGTCATGCTTAAAAGTGATGGGTTTTGTGAGAGCAAATGTAATAATAGTTGAAAATTTGGTACCTTTGCTTAATTCAGAAAAAACAATATACAATTATTCAAAGAAACATTTTCCTCACTCATCCTTCATTGTTTTAAGAGGAATATAGACACTTTTAATATTTTTTTCTTGATCTCAATTCGCACACGCACTAAATTAAAAGCTGGAGTTTTGTGCGTTCGTAAATTGTGATTTAAGAAAATGATTTGACAATAATCTTTTACACTTTTGCTTTACAATCATTTTTCAATGCACATAAATGCATGAATGATTCGAGAATAGGCATATCTTTGAAGCATTATGATTTTCCACAAGCAACTTTTTCCAGAAACTTGAACTACTCACAGCTGACGAACGCATCCAATAATCTGGATGTCTTAGGATGAGTTCGTCATTTTTTTCCCAAGGAAATACGATACAGTTTTAGCTACTTTACCTATTTATTAGGGTACTTTTGCCAATGAATTATCAAATCAATGACAACAATTAATCTCATTATCAACCATACTCGGAAGAATTTTCTTCGTACAAGCGCGAACACATCCGCGCTTTCATGAAAAGTAACGCCTGTAGATGTCAGTACTGCTGCTTTATGTTTCGCAAGGTGGCGCAGCGCGCAGGGTAGCGAGGCTGAGGTCTCCAGACTCTCCACCACGATTTAGCTTGGAAATGGCATGGGAAGGTCTCATAAAAAACGGACGCCCTTTTACACAGCTGCATAACAAGAATGAATTATTGGCATAGCTGACCATACGTCCCTCCCCCTTGCCGCCCCAACTCAGAATATCGCCTATTTTCCTTAGTGGTAGTTATATTCTGACTAATTTCTCACTCTTCCCAGTAAACCTTAACATGCATGATGCAGATGTCCACTGCGTAAGTCGTGTGCTTGCGTAAGTGTGCCAACTAGTGCTGCCTACAGTGCCTATAGTGCCTACTGCTTCCACCATTGTCGTTATAATTGGTGGTTCTCAGGTCAAAAGCTACACAGTGGTCTCAGAGAACAATCGTTTCAACAAATTCACGATTCAAACCGTTGCATTCTACTTATATTCCGGTTAGTTCTGCTACTAAACGATTCCGGCAGAACACTATTTAGGTTATGTATTAGCGAACCACCACACAAAATTCGCCCAATCAATGGTCAGTTATTACTGCTGGGCTGAACCGTCATACGCTATATAGCCTATTGCAGTCAATATTTTTAAAACGATACCGACTGACGAAACACAACATATTCGCAGATTCGCACATACGTTGGCACCCAGGTGGCCTGTCAGCAGCCGCACAAATTGAGATGGTACACCGTAAAGCATGCCTTTCCACACAGGCACAAGCACAGGGACACAAAATTCTCAAAATCCAAACTTATTCCAATACTGGTCAAATACTAATAGGCATAAAGTTTTGAGGTTTTCTCATGTTCATTCTTCTTTCAACACACGCGGCAGACTGCAGCAGAACATCTCACAGAGCTGCGCAGTGCGCTGGATGCAATCATGAGCTGGGACACGGTTTGTGACCGATGACCGATCGGGGGTGCCAGCCTCCTCCCGGCACGCGATGCACTGGCCGCCGCACAGTCGATGTCGGGGCACCGCCGGCATTCGCCGACAGGGTTCCATCCGATTCGGTGTATTGGTGGCAGCCCGAACAGTGACCCACGCGAAGCTGGTGGACGTCGATGGCCGATGAGCGATGCCCTTCCGCGACCGGCGGTGGCAGTCGGTCCCACATCAAGAACAGATACCAGTCATGCGGTAGGTCGGCGACGGCGCGGTCGCGAGTCGATCTGATGGTCGCGCGGTGGGCGTTGCCGACGTCCACCGGGACCGTCGACTGGGGGAGCGCGGCCGCCGCCTCTGGTCGGCGCGCTCGTTGCGCTGTGGGACGGCATCCACTGCAAGTCGTTCACTGTGAAGCGGTCGTTTGACCGGGCCTGGCTGGCAGGCGGGGAAAGGGGGCCTCAGATGAGGTAAAACCATCCCTCAGGCCAGCTGCCTCTCCACCTCACCATGGCAGATAAGCGGACACCCTCGTGATCATCGCAGCGATGATTGCCAATTGGTGTGTCATGGGAGAGGATGCCAGCCTCCTTTGCAAGATAGTCTGCCTTTAATATAGTGCAGCCCGACCCATTGCCTGTGGCAGCAGACTGGGCTTGATAATGCGGTGCAGGAAACACCAAACGTAAGCGGCCATCTGTACCTCCTGTGCAGTAGGGCTGACTCAAGAGCCCAGAGTCGCCCTCCCCCACCATTCTGCGCACGTGATAACTGGATGGGACATGCCATGGTCAGCATCTGTTCAAAAGCTGCCCTAAGCATTTGAAGCTCCACTGGCATGCTCCAGCATGGCCACAGTCAGTTCTCACTTCTCAGTTGAACCTCCAATGGAAACCCATCACGAAGTAAAGATCAGGGCGCCTCTCACACTGCTGCACACTCAACGACTAAGGCGCCATCTCATCACTTGCAGGTGGTTCTTGCCAGGAGCAATGCCAGCCACTCACATCAGGTGATAACAGCAGTACGTACAACTGCAATCTTTAAGCAATAAGCATCTATGCTCTTTCTGGTTTTCTCCTGTTGAGATCCACTGCTATGATGGGCTTTTGTTGTGCTCCTCCCATGTGCAGACAGGTTTCCACTGAAACAAAGTAAAGCAAATGTGATTAATAATGGCCCTGTTTCACCACCCAGACACTGTGTGCTCTGGTAGCTACGGCATACCATAGCGTCACTCAAATGACGCTGCATGTGATCTCTTAGTTTATGATGAATCGCGTTTGGAACAGAGTGAGAGAGGTCCTGAAAAACTCAGTACCTACCAAGAACAGAGGTTTGAGTTCAAATACTGCTAGCATGCTGCTGGCGCTGGCGCGGCAGCATGCTAGCATTCTGGGATGCTGTCATAGCTTAGCGTCAGAGTGAAGTTTGTTGACACTACCATGGAAATCCAATGCTCTTCTGACACACGCAGCGCACTGCACTGCAGTGCTCTGCCATGAAACACCACCCATTGCCATGAACATTAATTGCATGACCAGGATCGGAGCAGTGTGGCAGACAGTGATTTTAATTTTAATTGCACTTTCTAGAGATTAACAAGTTGTTGGTGAAATTGCTATTCATTATTCCTATTACCATTTTCTAAATTTCACATTTCAAGACAGCATTGACATGTTATCTAAAATAAGGTTTAGACTTCAGGTGGTCCCAGATTCAGTTATTAAGTAGAACAAGGGCAAAAAATCGTCAAAAAAATATTTAAAAATACCTGCCTTCATCAACACCTCATCTAATGACATATCTCAATGCAATCAAACACAACAATTGGCCCTAAAAGCAAAAACCGTTTGAATAACAATGTAATATTTTGCAACCGCTGCACCATTACTGTCACGTACGCTATCCCTAGATTGGTTGCTGGTAAGTAAGTGGTTGTCGTCATCAACTCGTCATGCAGCAGCTGATTGGGATGGGCGGGGCCTATTTTTATCCAGACGATAGAGAGAGCCCCAACTAACCACCAATGAACCACGAATTTTTGGAAACATGCGTCAGAAGCGTCACCAACAGCTGATTGCAAGGAATGTTACAGCGACTAAATTATTGCAGCCGTAGTTAGTGCGAACTTGTTGCGAAAACACCGTTGTATAATGCATATTCATGTGCCATTCTGATAAAATTATTTTGCACAACAGCTAAAGTTTTACAATTCAGAGGTTAGTCACCGGTTAGGAAATAAAGAGACAGTAAATACTAAATTAAATGTAATAATTTTATAAATGGTCTTGGTAATGCTCTCCGGCTGGTCCTCTCTCGGCATACAAATGATAAGGACGTAAAAAGACAAAAGAAATAAATGCGACCAGCTACGTGGTTTTGTAATATGTATAACTGCATTCAAAAGGTATTCAAAGACCAAGACAGAAAAATTGATTGTAAAATTATTATTGCGTCATCAATGACAGCTTTCATTCGCCTCAGAGACCAAAATTGACGCAGTCAAATGCCAATCCTTGTCAGAATGTCGAAAGTGCGCCAGTATTGTATTGCGTTATGTTTGGGCCGCATGCCAGTCAATATTCTGATTTTTTGTAAGGGTAATTGGTGTGTTATTTTCGTAATATCGGGTGGGACAGAACATAGAGTAGGATAGGTAATCAATGAATTTGCATCAAATTTTGTTTAGCTCTTTTTTTATGCCGACCAGACGCAAATAAAGTAACATGTGGCATTTGCTCTGATTTTGAACATCAACATCTCATTTTAGTCTGGGTTCTTTCATAATGTATATAGGTATAGTGCACACTGCACATAGACTTCAGTTCAGCTTCCTATAAGTTTGCTTTCAGGTTCTTTTATGTTTAATGGAATGCTTTCATCAGCATTTATTTATGCTTTGTAGTTTGATGCTTGTACCCTGGTTTGGTCATTGCTAGACTGTGGATGCTATTGCTGGTTGTTTTCAGTTTTGCATTTGAAATGTGCTTCCTTGATATATTTTTATATTTGGTTCTGTTTTAAAAGTTGTTTTGATGAATATTGTGTTGTTAACCTGAGCAAATGCACTTGGCAATGTGTTTTGCATCTAAAAAAATATTTTTTTATAGGTTCTTAAGTCTGACCGTCAAATACCCGCCACATGACAAGTTTTGCTTCTCGAACCCGCCAAAAACCCTGCGGGTTTTGAAAACCCGCAGAAAGCGGGTTCGCGGGTTCAAAAGTGGCATCTCTAATCCAAACACAGTAGTGCTAGTTCTTGCTTTGAGAAGTATCGGCATGACCCATTCTAAAAGTTCAGTGCACGTCACCTTAATAATAGTTTGATGACAAATCCAATGAAGTCTGCATCGTGCATGCTGAATGGGCTAAATGCCATACCAGTATTTGAGCCGTATTCAGATACCATCGCCTCTCTAACTGAACATGTCTGATAATTCCACATTAACACCTGGTTGGTGGTCTGTGATCGATTTGATCTGTACCCTGAACCCTTCGTAACCGTTCCTTTTCCTTCGCCCTTCATGACTTTCGACTGGATCATAGTACATTAAATGTTTACCGTCATCGATTTCTGCGAATGTTAAGCCAGTGTTTCCACTCAAACGTATGAGGTTCATTAGCCTGATATGTATTCTTTTTTCTATGAACTTCAATTCATTTACCTTATAGAATACAATTCAGCGACATATCGCCCATCTTGCGGTGAGATCCAGGGACATTCATAATAAACATAAAAGTGAATACCGTCTTCCCATTTCGGTCGATCTGCCTCAGTTCTACAACTCTCACCCGTCACTCGTCCCTGAGAGGTCCTCTCGCTCTGATAGCCCCTGAGGTGCACGGAGGCCCGACCTGTTGTAAGGCCCTCTCCCTCTGATAACCCTGGGGTGCACGGAGGACCGATCTCGGCAGGGTGGGAGGTGCATCCAGTCGGTAAGGTATACTCGACTACCCCGGTAGCCTGGCCCGGACGCTAATGCTTCGCTTGCCACTGGTTCAGAAACTGCTAACTGTGCCCGCTTTCCGTGTTGGTGTAACAATCGTGTTCTCACATTCGGGTCACTAACCCGTGTACCACTTTGTCATATATTTTTTGAAAATAATGTATATTCATTTGTACAGAACGCTAACTTTAACGTAAGCTATTTGTATTCACAGTTACGATTTGAAAATACCGTCTTGAAATTCTTATCGACACCATTTTCAATTCAATCGATAACCCTGTATCATTTCGCCGATATCTCCGGATGTGTGTCCCCTCAACACTCCGGCTGACCTGACCTGACCCGCCCCAGAACGCTGGGCGAGGTGCGTCTGCGTGAGACGGCGCCCGACACCATCACCTCGTGGATGATATCCGCCTTCTCCGTGGACAATCTGTACGGCCTCGGCGTCTCCGAGAGGCCGTCAAAGGTATGCTCAGGGATATACTATCGACGTAAAGAGACTGCAACACTCAGTAGAGAGGTGTTACTAAGACACGGAGACTGCAACACACAGTAGAGATAGCACCAGTAACTGCAGAGACTAACACACAGTAGAGAGATAACACCAGTATATGAGGCTGCAACGCACAATAGAGAAATAGCACCAGTGGAGGCTGCAACACGCAGTAGAGAGATAACACTAGTACATGGAGACTGCAACACACAGTAGAGATAGCGCCAGTATATGGAGACTGTAACACACAGTTGAGATAGCACCAGTATCTGGAGACTACAACACACAGTAGAGAGATAGCACCAGTACCTGGAGACTGCAACACACAGTAGAGAGATAGCATCAGTATATGGAGACTGCAACACACAGTAGAGAGATAGCACCATTATATGGAGACTGCAACACACAGTAGAGAGATAGCACCTGTATATGGGCACTGCAACACACAGTAGAGATACCACCAAAACATATGGCGACTGCAACATACAGTAGATATCATCAAAACTTACGGCGACTGCAACACACAGTAGAGAGATAACACCAATACACGGAGACTGCAACAAACAGTAGAGAGATAGCACCAGTACATATGAAGACTGCTGACACACAGTAGAGAGATAGCACCAGTAAATGGAGACTGCAACGCACAATAGAGAAATAGCACCTGTATATAGGTACTGCAACACACAGTAGAAAAATAATACCATTACATGGAGACTACAACACACAGTAGAGAGATAACACCAACCGATGACCGAGCTAATCGTGAAGACCGAGTGAGCTAATAAATTGGACAACGGGTATGATAACTTCGTGCTATCTGAACTGTAAGTGACTCATGTCCATGATGGTCCATAAGTGGCCTGTATTATAGCTCAATACCACAGTTGCGGCGCCTCCACAGCCGCCCTGACGCCCCCCCCCCCCCCGCCCACAGCTGCAGGTATTCCGACCGTTCTTCGTGTCGCTGAACCTGCCGTACGCCGTGAAGCGCGGAGAGGTGGTGGGCATCCAGTGCGTGGTGTTCAACTACCACCAGGCGGACCTGATTGCCGAGGTGACGCTCGAACACCAGGGTGACCTGCAGTTCACCAGCTTCAGCGACGAGGCCAATAATGAGGTGGAGGGCGAGGAAAAGATAGGTGAGAAAGATGGGCTTCATGGGATAGTTCTGTGTGGATACTGTCAATGATGACATTAGAATACAGCAGGATAAGGACGAATCAATGTCGGATTATTTAGCGTAAAGCTATTTTCTGCTACTAAAATTCAGAACGTTTTTAGATACTTTAGTGCATGATGTTTTAAAAGCCTAACTTAGTGAATCCCTGGTGTTTATTGACTTCATTTACAAAATTCATGGCCTCTCAAAGGTGTTAGCTTTTACCGCCCCCATCTTCTCATCAGCCCTTCGGTGAATAATCAAACAACTCACCCTCACAGCGAGTTGGAGACTCACAACTCACCCCCCCCCCCCCGCTCTCCCCCTCACAGCGCCCACTCTGGAGCTGTTTATCAAGAAGCAGGTACTGGTGCCCAAAAACGACGGCGCTAGCGTCACATTCATGGTCATACCCCAGACGCTCGGCCACGTGGACATCAAGGTCACCGCGCGCACCAGCGTCGCCGGAGACTCCGTGCAGAGGAAGCTGCTCGTCAAGGTGGGTCGGTGAAGCACGAGGGTGACGGGCTGGTCCGTGTGTCTATGATCAGCTGTGAAACTTGGCGGTGCAGTGGTGTGGTTGGAAAGTTTTTGTCGGAATATTTTTTTAAAGATTGGAACACGAGTCTTCGGTTAAGTTGCAGTTGATTATACCAACCTGAATTAACAGATAGGTATCAGAATTACTTGTCAACTTCATGACTGAATTAGAGTGATTCTGGTCATAACTTCTTCACGTCCCGATTATGACTAAGTACTCCGACTGACTGTAACCGTCGTCTGTTCCTAGCCGGAGGGGGTGCCCCAGGTGATCAACTCGGCCATGCTGGTGGACCTGCGGAACACGGACCGATTCAACAGCTCTGTACCCATCAAACTACCGCGCAGCTTCGTCAATGGATCCAACTCGGTCGAGGTCTCCGTCATCGGTGGGTGTTTCCGAGACTGTACGGCGGGCGTGAGACTGTACAAAGCACTGCAGGGGGAGGGATGGATTAAATTTCAGTTTCAGTCGTTGTGCGATGTGATGTTTTATTTAATGGTTCTGCTTCTGCTGTTTAATGGAGAAAATATCGTTTTCGAGTCTTGCGGCACAGTATAACTTCAGGCGCTTACTACTAGCGACATCTATAAAAAGAGATGCAAACTACCGTGCCTTGCGGTACAGCCTTCCTCTCAACGTCATGGAATCTGTCTATCGGCATCTATCGGTTACAACGAAAGTAAAAACTAAACAGTACGGTCAAGCACATTTTTTTCTCTTTATCGTCACCACTCTCTGACTTTGTCATCTCCTCCTGTCGCAGGTGACATTCTTGGCGGTAGTGTCGGTAACCTGGAGAGCCTGATCCAGCTTCCGTACGGCTGCGGCGAACAAAACATGCTGCGCTTCGTGCCCAACATTGTGGCGCTGGACTACCTGACCGGCTCGGGTCAGATCACGGCCGGTCTGCAGGCGCGGGCCGTCGGAAACATGCGCACGGGGTACCAGCGCGAGCTGAGCTACCGCAGGGAGGACGGCAGCTTCTCGGCGTTCGGGGACAGGGACGACGCCGGATCTACCTGGTGAGAGGGGATGAAGGGGACGGGGAGAGATGGTGATTGGGGTATGTGACTTGTGAGGTTTGCCGTTGGGGCGTATGTGGACTTTTATTTTCTTGTGGTTAAATGAGACATGACAAAATACTATAAAGTAGAAACATGTCTCGTTAGTGGTTCGTCTGCTTAGATCTCTATTTACTTATTCATCTTTCCATTCTTCTGGTCATAACTATTGTCTAGTTATACAATGATGTAGGTCTAAATAGAAGCCGGTGTGTTAATGTTAGATGTTGGATTTCTGGAAGAGCAGCTGTCCTGATTGGACCACCACACCATTGTCCCGTTACCTCTGGCCTTTAACCCCTGACCTCTTCCCGTCCCCCGCAGGCTGACGGCGTTTGTGATTCGCTCGTTCGCCATGGCTCGCGAGTACATCGAGATCGACAGCAGCGTCATGGAGCTGGGTCTCAAGTTCCTGGCCGACAACCAGGCCTCCAACGGCTCCTTCCCAGAGGTCAGTAACCGCCGCGCGACCCGGACGGAACTATGCCTTCTGTGCGGGCCGGTCTATCCTCAGCGAGGGGTCTATCATTTGTACAACGATTATTTTTGAAAACGGGAAACGCCCGTTGAATCTGTCAACTATACATGGCTTGTCACTGGTGTTAACGTTTCAACGGTTAAAAAGAATAATTTATGTCCTTTGAACTACGATTTCCGTTCCGTTACTCTCACTCACCCCACCCCGCCGTACGTTCCATGCCTGACTTCTGTCTTCCCACTTCGTCTGACGTCTGCTCCCAGGTGGGCCGCGTCAGCCACCAGCCGATGCAGGGCGGCTCGGCGCGCGGCGTCCCGCTCACCGCCTTCACGCTGCTCGCCTTCCTCGACTCGGAGGAGGGCAGCCAGTTCAGCAACGCCAAGAACAACGCCATCGACTACCTGGTCAGGAACATCCCTACCGACCCGTACGAGCTGTCCGTGGTGGCCTACGCGCTGGCCAAGGCCGGCCACCCGGGCGCGCCCGGCGCGCTGGTCCGCCTCAGCCGCATGGCCACCGAGGAAGGTGAGACGGAGCGGCGCTGTGTTGGATACTCGGTGGCTGGATCATTGATGGTTCGGTGACAACTAATGTTATCACATGAATGTGATACGTGTGCTTCGGTTACCGCGGCTGAAACTTGCTGGAGCAAAAGTTTAACGACGACGGTCAGTTGTTCCGTCACAAATCATGCTTCTTCGAATCGTGCTCTGACTCTGTTCCATTCCGCTATTGTTTCATGTTGAGCTCCGTCCGGCCGTTGTCGCTTGCTCTCAGCTCCCTTCCGTCGTTGTATAGCGTGCTCTGAGATTCGTTCCGTTATTACCCGCCCCTCAGACGACATGCGTTGGTGGGAGAAGCCTTTGGAGTCGCTGAAGAACACGTCCTTCTGGTACGGCCGGCCGCGCCCGCTGGACATTGAGATGACGTCCTACGCGCTGCTCACCTACCTGGAGCGGGGGGAGAGAGAGGAGGCGCTGCCCATCCTCCGCTGGCTCATGAGGCAGCGCAACGACATGGGAGGCTTCCAGAGCACACAGGTGGGGGTTTGGGAGGGGGATTCCTGTCACAGGATTTGTTTTAGATAACATTACTTATTTGATGCGAGACTCCTTGTGAGTTGTTAGTGTGGTGTCTCCCCACGTCTGCATTCTACGAGCATTTTGTCTTCCCCTGTGGAAACTGCAACATCTTGATAGAAAGTGATAGAAGATTGTGTATGATTAGAGACGACTGACTAATCATGATTGCGTATAAATGTCTTCCACAACAGCTAGTTAACGGAACATCAGTCGGACCTGGCAAACGTTCTGGTCTTTTGATATGAAGATATAAAGCGCAAATGCGTATTGGAGCAAATGACACCCTGTAGCCTGTATCCCCCGGTGTTGCCGCCTGTCCTCACGCCCCCCTGCCTCCCCGCCAGGACACGGTGGTGGGGATGACTGCGCTGGCAGAGGCGGCCGACGCTCTCCAGTCTGCCGACACCGACGTCTCGGTCCGGTTCATCTTCGGGCCGCGCGGCAAGAACATGCGCGTCACCCGATCCAACGCGCTCACCGTGCAGAAATACGAGGTACGGACCGTGGGGTGTGCAAGCGGCGGGAGAGCGCTTCGTATATCGTATGCCATTTAACATGACCTCCGTTATCTAATTGCCTAGTTCTGTTCTTGCCTTCAATACCGCCTGGCGTTTGACCACTTAATCTTCTATTTGGCTCGTTCTAACCTATCTGATGTCCATTTGACCTTTTCTATCTGAACCCACATGACCATATCTGATCTTTTCAGTAATAACCTATCTAACCTCCGATCTAGCCCATCTTTCCCCTTATCTGGCCCGCTCTGATCACACATCAGACCTCTATTCCGACCCGTCCGACCCTCCCGTGTCTCCAGTATGGCCCGACTCCTGACCGCGTCTCTGACCCCGTCTGACCTCGCCCTGCCCCCGCCTGACCGCAGCTCTGACCCCCGTCTGACCGCAGTTCTGACCCCGTCTGACCGCAGTTCTGATCCCATCTGACCCCGCCCTGCCCCTCTCTGACCCCGTCTGCAGCTGCCGGACCCCAGTCTGACCGCAGCTCTGACCCCGCTCTGGCCCCTCTCTGACCCCGCCCTGCCCCCGTCTGCAGCTGCCGGACCCGGAGGTGGACACGGTCGAGGTGAGTGCCACCGGCTCCGGCCTGGCCGTCGTCCAGGTCACACACCGCTACCACGTGAACGTCACCGGGCCCGACCCCAGCTTCTTCCTCAGCCCCCGGATGGACGGACTCAGCAACAAGCGGCACATCAAAGTCAGCGCCTGCACGGGGTCAGTGAGACGGCGGGGACAGCGGCTCTGGGGTTCGGGTGGCGTGTGAGTTACTTTTTGGGAAATTGAATGAATGTCTTGCGTCTGAGACTGTCTTCCTTGCGTGCTTTTAATGCTTAGATGTGAGAAGATAAGTCATTGAAGAGGACTTAGTTTGTGATAAACCCAATTGACATCATGGAATTAATAATCTGTCCCGTTAATCTCTCCGTGTTCGCCTCCCCAGCTGGGAGGGCGAGGGCGACTTGAGCAGTGGATTGAACTCCCCTCCATGTACAAGTCTGACGTTTCCGCTTCCCCTCAGGTGGGAGGGCGAGGGCGACTCGAGTAATATGGCCGTGATGGAGATCGGCTGCCGTCCCCGTGTAATCAGTCTGACGTTCCCCTCTACCCTCTGCAGGTGGGAGGGCGAGGGCGACTCGAGTAACATGGCCGTGATGGAGATCGAGCTGCCGTCCGGCTTCACCGTGGACGAACAGTCCATCCCCGGTCTGTACAAGTACCGCAGCGTCAAACGCGTCGAGACCGCCGACGGAGATACCAAGGTCGTCATATACTTCGACGAGGTCAGAGACGAGGTCACCTACTCAGACCTGGCGGGGTGCAGGGGGGGGGGGGCAGAGAGGTGGTTTGGTAAAGGAGGTTGTATGACCAGTGAGGGATGAAGGTTCGTGATGAATGAGCTATGTAAACTATAAACAGAAACACGGTTATGTTTCGTTGTATTAAGGAATGAGATCACTGAGGCTTTTCTGTAGACTTCCCAGTACAATGTGCGTCCATCCTTGTTTCAGATTTCCCAGTACGAGACGTGCCCCACGGTTCTCGGCTACTATACGGCCAAGGTGGCCCGCCAGAAGAGGTCGGCAGTCACCGTCTACGACTACTACGACCCCAGTAAGTGACGGATCTGCCGGACCGGACGCGCCCCAAGGTGGGGAAGTCCTGATCGGCATACCAGCATTTTGTGTTGGCTCTGATGATGAAGCATAAATATCGATTTAGCGCAACGCGACTTTTTCGTCATGCGAAATCACCTTGTTTGAGCGCTTTTATATTCGTCCAAGGTATGATTTCATGTTATACATTGGTCGCCACAGGGCTTCTGGTATTGTCCACGTCTGCGTCTCACCTACCCCGCCTAACTCACTCTGGTCTCCGCCCCACAGCCCGGATGGCGCGCCAGTTCTACCTGCCGATCCAGGCGACCCTCTGTGACATCTGCGAGGGCGACGACTGCGACCCGGTCCAGTGCGCCCAGGAGTCCGAGACGTCTGGTCAGCAGACCGGAGATCCGGACGCCGCCGGTACCATCTCCTTGCAGTGGCCGTCACTGCTCGTCGCAGCGCTAGTTTTGGCCGCCGGCCGGTAGGCGGCGCTGGCGATGGGTGGATAGAGGGCGCTGGCGTCGTGTGATTCGCTAGTTGGCCGCTATCACCCGCCCGCTGTGAAAGACACTTCTGTGGTAAAAGTCGAGAGGAATGAGGATAGTCTGGTGACTGAATGTGACAGACTGAGCTCAGTCCGCTGACTGAATGTGACAGTTCGAGATGTGACTGACAGTCGACCAAAGTCTGATGGTCGTTTGACCGAGGTTTGTTGGACAGCTAACGGGTTTGTGACGGTCGGTGGACAGAATCCACAGGTCCAGCTGTCCCGAGAGGACAGCCAAGACGGTGGCAGAGTGAATCCGCCCAGTTTGAGCTCTAACTGTATTAATCCGTCCAGATATGAGCTCCGACTGTATTAATCCGTCCAGATATGAGCGAGAACAGTGTTAATCCGTCCATTTATGAGTACGGGCCCTTGTGAATCCGTCCAGAGTTGCAGTGGCGCGCGGTTCCGCTGGAATTCCGCCCAGTGTGTGACGTTTACGAGTGACGTGGGTCTCACTGAGATGCCTTGTACACGGGGTAGACTGATGTTGGTCGTTCACCGCTTCTGAGAGAGAGAGAGAGAGATGGGCACGACGACCAAAGGGATTCATATATTTGCCGCTTGCACTGTTAACTAGTGGTGGTTGTCACCGATATGTCGCTAACATTCCAGAATGTCGCACTATGGTAGGGGTCCATGAAGTTCCCTGTTGCCTGAGTATAATTACCGGTCCTCGCGCCATCGCACCCTCACACAGTAACCGCCACTGGTATGTGCCGCCGCGGAGCTTGATGTCTAACTCGTTGCGTTGTTACGTTTGCGGTATCACAATCACCCTTCATTGTCTGCCGGCGGTGTCGGCTCTCGCTCACCTAACACCGTAGCGCTATTCACTGGGCTACATCGTCTGCACGTTGTACTATTGTTGGGGGTAGCGGGCGGGGGAGCCCGCCGGCCCGGGTGGACCGGGGAGCGCCAGGGGCGCCGGACGTTTTACTGCGCATTGTGAGTGTATGAGGGCTGTTTTTGGCCCGTATTTATAACAAATGTGACTGAATAATAAACTTGTGAAATACCCAAATACTGCGGGTTTGGTATTCCGCTGGTATTTCCCCATTTCTTCCACCTGAACACCCGCCAAAAACTCCCAGATATATTTAGAACGATCATATCGAACAACAAACAACAGTTATCGGCCGTAGGACCCGTGAGTTCCTTCTCCATCGACCAGTCGTCGATAAACCGTTATCCGACGCACGTGACCTCCAGCTCAGTGATCTGCCACAGCCAGAGACCTCCCGGCGGGGGGAGGGCACAGCGAGCGGGCGGCGCGCCAAAATACCACACATATTGCACAGAGAAGAGAGAGCGTGCGCGCGCGCCAACCCGCGCATGGCACGTGATATCGGTGATATAGCGGGGTAAGGGGAGCGCGTTGGACCCGTACAGACTACAGCTAGACTAGAGCAGCGGAGGGCGGGAGGAGGGGGAAGGGGTCCCTCAGGCCGCGTTGTCCCCGTTGGCCACTTTCTGCACCTCCTTGTCATCAGGCCCCACCTGGGAGGCCTTGGAGAGGAGGCGCGGAGCAGAGAGCATGATGGCCGCCGCGCCCAGCGGAGCCGTCACCAGGATCACCAGCACAGCAATAGCCACCACCTGGTGACACGCAGACACCAACGTGAGCTAGGGCAAAGTGATAAAATAATTACTGCTGAGAAAAGAACGCAGGCAATAACATTGGAACATAGGGACACGGACATTGATCAGTGGACACTACTTTGTGATCACGGTCTAGCCCCAGTAAAACAATCGAGAAGGGCGATAACTCATGTGCTCGGCGCTTGACTCCCAAGATATTTATATTTTCCGAAAGATATGGACTGCTCGGGCTGGATGTCGTGTGAAACACATCCAATTCTCAATGCATTGTTCAATGCCCATGTCCATCGCTGAGCACCACTCAGTAGTTGCGGCTCTCCCGGCTCCCCATCCCCGCCACAGACTGACCTGTTCGCCGAGGCTGATGTTCTCGGGCGTGGGGGCGTACTGGCGGGCAAAGTCGAGCGCCACCGGACCGATGGCGGCCTGCCGGGGAGGCAGGGTGAGTAAATGGGTGTAGAAATGCAGTGGCTAGGCGGATTTGGCGAGCGACGGCGGTGCAGGTAAACGTAATCAAACGACGTACAGAGGTCGACACATATACAGGTCACCAATTAAAATCGGACGACATTATTATAGCTAAATGGTAAGCGTGAACAGCCGGCGTCGCCGTGAACTGACCTGCACTGTGGCCTTAGGCAGCCAGGCCAGTGTGACAAAGAGTCGCTCCTTGACGGTCAGCCCGCCGCCGAGCACGACGAAAAACGTCACCGCCATCCGCACCGTCAGGCCTGGAGGGAAAGGCTCAACGTCAGTCAGTGCCATAGTCAGTCTTCGTCAGTGTCAGTTGGAACATCACTCAATACAGCACAGCCTTGACGGGATACTGATTACGGAGAGGCGGGAGTGACGGCTGATGGGACAGACAGACGGCGATCCATACAAACGCGTTCTTTTTTCACACTCTCCAGGACATTCAGTTTCTAAGGAGACAAATGGCTGAAGGACAAGCTTCAAACGCCCTCTCTGGCATTCCCTCCTCACCTCCCTCCTCCCCTCTCACCCATAAACAGCACGAGCAGCCCCAGTCCGACGGTGTCACCCCGGACCCCTCCCTCGTTCTCTCTCCCTCCCATCTCCTCTCTCCCTCCCTCTCACCCATAAACAGCACGAGCAGCCCCAGTCCGACGGTGTCGGCCCGGACCCCTCCCTCGTCCTCTCTCCTTCCATCTCTCCCTCCCTCTCACCTATGAACAGCACGAGCAGCCCCAGTCCGACGGTGTCGGCCCGGACCCCTCCCTCGTCCTCTCTCCTTCCATCTCTCCCTCCCTCTCACCTATGAACAGCACGAGCAGCCCCAGTCCGACGGTGTCGGCCCGGACCCCTCCCTCGTCCTCTCTCCTTCCATCTCTCCCTCCCTCTCACCTATGAACAGCACGAGCAGCCCCAGTCCGACGGTGTCTGCCCGGAGAGCGTTCACTTGGATCTCGGCGCCGATCAGACCGAACAGCAGCGGTTGGAAGACGAACCAGAGTACCGAGTAGGCATCGCTCACTGGATTCTGTGGAACACAACGGACATATAGTGAGAGTTAGAACGCTGACGAACCAGAGCACCGAGTAGGCGTCACTCACGGGGTTCTGGCGGGCACATCGGATACACAGAGGTTAGAGATGTGTTAGCTATCCACACATTGACGTGGGTTATATGAAACGCCGGAACAATCTGTTACAAATTGCAGAGAGCTATTAGAGTTGTTCGTTAGAGAATGTCCTGGTTATCTACGTCCTTCTGATAGTATTAGCGACACATACAAGGAAGATGTACAATGAATGCTCACGTTACTGATGTCTTGAGGTTGTCCACAAACCAGAACCACTCAGAACCTAACCGCCAAGCACCCCCGTAACGTGCCCTCCTATTAACTCACTCACCGTGTCTCCGGTCCACCCGCTCCTCCTCCAGCCGTGTCCGGCCACAAACGCCAGGGTGAGGGCGGCCAGCGCGCCCGCGCCGGCATATCCCACCTGAAACGGAGCGGAAACATCAGCAATCCTCGCCTGAAGACCATGCAATCCTCATATTATCTAGGTACACAGTCTACAGACACCATTCACTTGTAAATGGACACTAAAAATGCCCCCTAACAATAATATGGGTCATCTTCCAATATTCCATCCAGCCCACTCATGGTTTTGAATCTGCTAGTTGCTACCCACTTCTTCGCCGCACTCTAACCCTTCCCACTCCCATCCCCAGCCCTCCCCCGGTGACCCCAGCCGTCCCTCCCCACCCTCACCCAGTCACCCTGGCGGCCCCACCTTTTATCCCCTCCCCTGCCCTACCACCTCCGCTCACCTTCTGACTGCCAAACAGGGCCAGCAGGCCGGTGCAGGTGAGGAGCAGCAGTCGCAGCAGCGCCAGCCGACTGTTGGAGGCGCCCGGCAGGTACCAGAGCAGCACGCCGCCCACCACGCCGTACCCCAGACCCATCACCACCTCCAGCGGACCCGAGAGCAGCTTCTCCGTCAGGGCGCCTGCAGGAGAGAGGGGAGGTGAGAGGGAGGGAGAAAGGGGGGATAGAGAGCAGCTTCTCCGTCAGAGCGCCTACAGGAGAGAGGGAGAGGCGAGAGAGGGAGAGAGAGAGGGGGGACAGAAAGCAGCTTCTCCGTCAGAGCGCCTGGAGAGGGGAGACGGGGAGGTGAGCGGGAGGAAGAGAGAGAGAGGGGGGACAGAGCGAGCCTGGCAGGGGATGGCGGCTTGGACTGGCACAAAGTTACGACGGGCCAGATGTAACTACTAATTTCTCATATTGTTTGATATTACAAGGTCCATTATCATGTCAGTATATTTAAAAAGAATGGACTTTTATAATAAAAGAGAACTCAAAATCAACCACAATGCAATAAAGTAGTCTGCAAGTTCTGTGTGCATCTATTAAAGTAAATATGGACACGTGCGACCGGCGTTCATTGGTCGCCAGTAATGACTAACCCCGTGAGAAGTTGACTCCGAGCAGGACGCCGAAGCCGGAGATGGCCAGCACATCATCCACGCTGGCGGCGGCGATAACCAGCGTGGGCACGCCCTTCTCCACACCGTATCCCTGCTGCTGGAGGGAGAGCAGGCACGGGACGACCACCGCCGGAGACACGGCGGCCAGTACAAACCTGGGGGAACCGAGACACAGAGACAGGGTCAGACAGTGTCAGACAGGGCACCACACCGCGGGAGAGACAGCGGCCAGCACGAACCTGGGGGAACCCAGACAGGATCAGACAGGGCAGGCAGGGCACCACCACCGCGGGCGACATGGCGGCCAGCACGAACCTGGGGGATGCCAGACACACAGCAAAATGTTTGAACACAAATATAAGAGGCATTTTAACACAAATGTAAGATCATGCAACTCATTCCAATAAAATCCAAAGCAAACACATCAATGACATCATAAACTGAGGGCATCAATCACTCACCTGACTACCAGGCCAGCGAAAATAACCAGCCTCCTCACAGCTCAAACACCTCAACACCTCAGCTCAGCTTCACTAGCTGCCCCGCCACCTACCCGAGCATGAACGCCCAGTGGCAGACCTAACGGGCCGGGAGCCCGGAACCTACCCGAGCATGAATGCCCAGATCCAGGGGAAGCCGAGCAGCAGGTGGGCCGCCACGCCGACCGTCAGCGTCTCACACAGACAGGGTGTGAACGCCAGCCGGAGCACCACCAGACTGAGACGGCGCAGCGCGGCCGCGTCCAGACCCAGGCCGGCCCGCGTCAGAATCACCATCAGCGCCATGTTCCTGTGGAGGGGGGGGGGGGCAGAGGGGTCACTACAGGTCAGCAGGGGTCAGTAGAGGTTAGCATTATCAGCAGAGATCAACAGGTAAAAAAAAGTCGGACGAGGTCTGAGGCCAGGGGTACACCGGTAGGGATCTGGCGGAATCTGCACTTATTGCCGAATCAGATGGAATATGTGACCATTCACGCCATGTGTGTCATGCATAGTCTTGGCTAGGAGGTACCACTTTCCCCAGTTCCCTCACCTGAGGAGTGACGAGGGGCTCTCCGGAATAGAGGTATCTCTCACGCCACTCAATCTCACCTGAGCAGTGACGAGGTGCCCTCCGGGATGGAGGAGGCCACGGACCGCAGTCCCGGTACGTTGGCCAGACACAGTCCCATGATGAGCATCCCGAGCAGCGGCGGCAGGCGGACCAGGGCGGCCACCCAGCCGGCGGCCAGGCACAGCACCAGCAGGCAGAGAATGCTGCGGACACACAGAGATGCACAGGAATATTGCAGCCAGCCGGCGGCAAGAAACAGCACCAGGAGACACAGAATGCTGCGGACACACAGAGATACACAGGGATAGTACAGCCAGCCGGCGGCCAGACATAGAACCAGCAGGCAGAGAATGCTGCGGACACACAGAGATACACAGGGATATTACGGCCAGCCGGCGGTCAGGCACAGCACCAGTAGACACAGAATGCTGCGGACACACAGAGATACACAGGGATATTACAGCCAGCCGGCGGCCAGGCACAGCACCAGGAGGCAGAGAATGCTGCGGACACACAGAGATACACAGGGATATTACAGCCAGCCGGCGGCCACAGAATGCTGCGGACACACAGAGATACACAGGGATATTACAGCCAGCCGGCGGCCAGGCACAGCACCAGGAGGCACAGAATGCTGCGGACACACAGAGATACACATGGATATTACAGCCAGCCGGCGGCCACAGAATGCTGCGGACACACAGAGATACACAGGGATATTACAGCCAGCCGGCGGCCAGGCAGGGTAACAGGAAGCACAGAATATTGCAGACACAGAAAAAGAACAATCAACAAAGTGTCGAATCAACGACTGAATTACAATTTCTATGACAAGTCAATGTCCTAACGACTTTCTTGATTGACCATGACCAGCATTTGAAATGTTTTCACCAGTGAATTTGCACATTGCTCCCTAGTCCCTCCCATTTCCTGTCCCTCAGTCCCACCAGCCCCGTCCCCAACACAATGACACATCCCTCTGATCTCCCGTTCCCCTCCCTTCCGACTGACCCGAATATCTGTCCGCCGGGCAGGGCGTGCGGCCCGGTCAGAGCCACCGCCAGTCCCCAGACGGCTAGAGTGACGGCCGCCGCCGAGAGCAGGCCCTCCAGCCAGCCCCAGGGCGGGCACGTGCAGCCGTACAGGGCGCGCCGCCACGGCGCCCCGCCCGCCGGCGGCGCGTAGCTGGAGCGCAGCAGCGGCCGCGCGAACCGGTGACACGGCCCGGACGGCTCCGGGGACTGCAGCTCGAGCGGCTCGCCCAGAAACACGTCACCGTCCGCTGGGAAAGGCGGGGGAGGAAGTGGTTAAATATATAATAACAGCAGGCCCTTTATCTTAGCACACCTCCCGGTCCTCCAAGCATCAATGAATCAAGCTGTGGCATGCACCAACCGAACTCTAAAGCATTGCATGGATAAGAAATGCAAGGTCTGTCAGAAGGTCTCAGCGTCTCTGAACGGTTGCCAGTTCTTACCGACATCGTCGCTTATTGTGGGTGGTTTGCTGCCGCTGCCTCGGGTTGCCAGATCTGTGCCCGTCAGACTCTCCCGCCAGCTAGAGCGCGACTGCTTCTCCTCTGAAAGTGAAAAAGACGTGTGACTGATTTCTATGACCATGTTTTATGTTGCAGGAGCCAAGCTGAAAGGACATAGCTCGCTCTCAGTTGTAAAACGAGCACCGTCTTACTAGATCTCACTAGACGGCGTGGAGATTCACCTTCACGACAATTCATCTCACCTGAGACGTGAAGCGCTGGCCTATAGGACTCTCAATGCCTACCCGCTGCGGAGGTAAATCGCTCACTACAGTCTTAAGCTCACCTGAAGAGGTGGATCGCTCGGATGCCCGTCTCCGCTGCTCGGCCGGACTTGGGTCCACCGGCGGGAACACGTACGTCGCGGTGGGGTCGGCCATGGCACGCCCGCACCCGGGGCCGCTCTGAGTGGGCCGACCGGCGCGGCGGGGCGGCGCTCACTGTACGGGCGGCAGGGCTGGGAGCTCAGCCGGCTAACTGTGGACAGGGACGGAGTGACGCAGTGAGCTAGCGACCGAACCGGGGTCCGGCGGTACAGAGCGGTTAGCTACAGGACAATGTTTATTGTTTATGACTGGTGTACGAGAGTTGTGAATGGTGTAAGCGATCAAAGCCGATAGCTGAAAGACATGTAAACTATGTGACAATTCTTGGGTGGATGGCGCATAATACCGCATACTTTGTGGGCTGATCTCGAACAATCTGAAGAGCACGAGGCCGCAAGGGCCTCACCAATTTATCCTCGAACATACATAGTGTAATAAATAATAGTTATTTATTACACTATGCCCCAACCATACCTCTTTCACACTTTTCTGAGTGTTTCAACTACACTTTCCTTACAGACTATGAAAAGAAAACAAATGCTTCCGCCACTCCACTGCGAACTTTGAGCCGCGATTTCGGCTATCTGCGAGCAGTCGGTGCCGAGTGCCGACCGACAGCTCTGTGCCAACATGTGACGTCCACGCCGTTATGTGTTTATTTGGAGTTCCGTTCGGGGAACCAGAACACGACCCCGAGGTAGACCGACAGGATACACAGGAGAGAACAATGGGCAGAAGCAGACCCGAACCGGGAGTCGGTCGTCAGTTCATCCACGCAGCATCAATACCATTTACCAACACAATGAAGGCAGACAACATGGTCAACCAATTAAAGGGAATAGTTCACTTTCCTGAAATAAGTCTTTTTTGCAATGGATGTCGATTTGTTATGCTGAGCAGAAAATAATCTTTTTTATAAAAAGGATCATTTTCTATATTTCAATATAGAAAGTACTATTTCTTATCTTTAGTAGAGGCCATTTACTATTTGCAGCAGAAGGTATCGATGCATTGACCAATCAAGTTAAAGCTGCAAAGACATTACTAGACTCGCACGAAGTTGCAGACAAAACAGTGCATTTGATACAACCTATCTGTAAGCTGATTGGCTGAAAGTTTAGCCTCTGTGACAGGTGGCTGCATTCCTAGCATTCTTCTACAAGTGACAAATTCCCCCACAAGGCACTCTTTTCAGAACAAGAAATGGAATATCTCTGCCTAGAGTGATTGCCTGGGCATAACAGCTCCTAGTTTGTGCTAGTCTCAGCTTAGATTCCTTTACTGCTAAGTGCTATTCCAGCTCAAAACCCCATGTTAAAATTGATATATTTCTTTAATTGCCCTATGCATCATTACAGATGTAGCACTCCTCATCACAAGAGCCATATCAAAAAACTTTTTCATAATAATCTTAGGCATTGTTCACTGTTCAGCATACACATTTGTTGAGTCATGAGTGTGCCAGGCTGGTGCAGAGTTCACGCCTGGCTGGTGTTGTCAGTAAGCTGGTACAGATTTTCCATTTTCCATGCTACCTAGTCCTAGTCATTAGTACCTGGTGCAGCTAAGTTGCTCTGCTGTTATTAAGTTATGTCCACAACCTGATTCCTTCAAAGCTTGTTTGGATTAATTTTAAGTGTGGCAGTTTCTAAAAAAAAACTTTCAGGGAAGCATGAGACATCAATGAGTGGTTGGGGGCATAATATTATTGATTTATATATCTTTTTATTGATAGTGTTATTCTGGGAACTAATGTCAGTAACTTCACTTAACACAGCTTTTGCTGCAGCATGATGCAGATCCTTATTACTTTTTGGCAATATAGTAGGTACCTACCTCATAAATTTATCAAATAAATATTTCAAAACATGGTGTATTCGGATGAAAAATGACATTGACAAATGACAAGTAATCCAATTATCTTTTTTAACAGCATGTAGAGTGTATTGAGAGGATGGCATTTCTCAACATAAAATCACATCATTATTACAAACATCCATAAAATTATTAAAGGTCAAAGCAGTAACATTACGCAGGTAGCAATCTTTGTCAATGAAATGTCAAACAGATAGCCAGATGGGTAATTCATGTCAAATCAATAATTCAAAACAAAATCTTTTATAACTGAAAAGTGATGTGCAATGATTGCCAGGAAAAGCCATATGAATCCTAACATGTCAAAAAAGGCCAAAGCACAGTACAGTAAGAACCGGTCATAGACCAATACATTATTAGAGAGAGTAAGTTAGAGAGTTAATGTGACATATGGATATAAATCGAAAGAAAAACTTATGCGTAAGAAGATGTGACATGATTCAACGCAACGTAATAACAAACTAGCGATATAAGAGAGAAAAAAGATATTAAATCGTCCTACCTTACTGCGCCATTTCTGTCGAAGCTCAAATGATTCAAGGATTTGTTTATTTCGGAGTAATGGCAAGCAATCATAAAACACTGCAAAATCTTTTTAACCATTATATATCGTTATATTTTTGTGTGCTCGGTGGCACAAACTGGGCGTACTTTTTGGTACATTGAGATGACGATCTGTGCTTTATTTCATAGTATTTAAAGAGCATCTGACCCTCCCCACAAACTGTCCCGCGCTTTTCCACCCATCACCACGCTGGACCGGGCTAATAAAAGTACCTAAGGCTAGTAATAAAATGCTGTCTTCTCATTCGCTCTCATACGCACTCGCACCTGACAGCCTGACCCACTGGCCGCTTCCGGCTCCGGCCACTCACAAATGAAACCAGTGCCACCAGATATAATGCCAACTGCCACCCATACTAATAGGTACTACCTACGGTACCTACCGATACCTACCTATCTAGTACCTATCCCCCATCCCCCGTGCACCACCACCGTCACCACCACCACCTACTTCCCAAGCTCCGTAATCGGCGCAACAGAGCTCCTGGCTAATGGCTTTATCGTGCAGCAGCCAATTAGCGACTAGCGGCAGCGACTAACGTTGCCCAGTTCGTGGTGTCGGGTGTCAATTTGTTAGCGCTGCGGCTGGGTGCCACGAGCTGATCCGTCTCGGATTGCGCCGCCGTCTCGTTGGCGACAAAAATGTGCGCTAATCCTCGACAGCTTAGCTACAATTGACATCGGCCGCCTCCCAAGACCGAGCCCCCCTCCTACTCCCCCCTCCCCTCCACCGCGGCCTACGCGCGAGCCGTCGGCGGCGATAGTGCCACAGCTGATCTTGTGGGCGCTGCACCAACGCCCCCTCGACTGCTTACGGGCGCTTCACCAGCGCCACACTAGACTGCTGCTGAGTCGGCGTTTGTATTTACTCGCGGTAGATGTCGCGACCTGTAACTATGCGTATGTTCCCACGGCCGCTTATATACTTTCTAATTCATTTACAAATTCATAGTGTCACCATTTATTGTTGTATATTAATTTATTTCATATGTAAATCGAAGAAGTGTTTTTATCTCGCAAACCAGCTTTCTCTTGTATTTCAGGAATGTTTTATATGATCGCCCAACTCGGTGCTCGCTCTCGGCGTCTTCCTCTATTCGGTGACGGCTGTGCATCTCGTGCGTGAAAAGAATACAAATATTCAGCGGCCCGAAGGACATTTAACAGCGAGCACGCGAACGAACTTAAATCGTAGCGACAGACACACCCATCCGCTACAGTGGTGACCCGACGTGTGATAAGTGCGCTATCAGTGACAAAAGGTGAATCGCCGCGCGCCATCATGCCCGACGAGAACGGCCCAACAGACGCGTCCGCGGCCGGAGCCGCCGCCGCTCCACCGCCACCAGCACCAGCGCTGGCCACGGCCAGCCGGCCGGTCGCCTCCCTGCGGCTGCCACCATTCTCCATGGAGGAGACAGAGCTGTGGTTGTCGCAGGTCGAGTGTGCGCTGGGAGTGGCCGGCATCACAGACGACCTGACCCGCTACCAGGTGCTGGTGGTGAACCTCCCCACCGAGGTCGCCATCCAAGTGCGAGATGTAATCACAAGACAATCTGAAAGCATCTGTGGTCAACTTTGGCATGACAACTCATATTGAGCAGCTCTGGTTGCAACTCCCACTGATGGGAAATGACAAGCTTCTGATTGGATGCCTATACCGCAGTCCAACCCTGAGCACACAAGAGAGTTCCACTGAGCTATGTCAACTTTTGCGTACAGCCTGTACTTCAGCCTGTTCCCATATTCTCATATGCGGGGACTTCAACATGCCCCACATTGACTGGGAGAATGTCTTCTCTCCTGCTCCTCCCCTGGATGTTTCACACCAGTTTCTGGAAGTGATAAATGATTGCTTCCTCACTCAGCAAGTCACTCGACCCACTCGCTTCCGTTCAGGTGAGACGCCCCACATCCTGGACCTGATCCTCACCAATGAAGATGGGATGGTAAAGCACCTTTACCATGAATCAGGCCTTGGAAGGAGTGACCATGTCATCCTGCGGTTCGATCTGGCATGCTACACATACCAACATGAGTTCCCCTCTGCTCGTCCCAACTACTTCAAAGGAAACCCAGACAAGTACATCAGGCTGGTCCAGGAGTTGGACTGGGAGTCAGCAGATGCACTCGGTATCGACCAAAAGTATGACTTCATTACCAGTAACCTCACCAGGATTGCTCTGGAATGTTTCCCGAAAAGTAAGAGAAAAGGAAGCCGTAAGAACATCTACATAAATGGGCAGGCTCTGCGCCTAAAAAAGAAGAAAGAGAAGCTATGGAAGATATACTCTCACTCCCAGGATGTGTTGGACTATTGCAGGTACACTCAGTGCAGAAATCAACTGCGTGCGCTGACAAGAAGACTGAGACGTGACTTTGAGGAAAAGCTAGCAACGAACATCAAAGCCAATCCAAAGGCTTTCTGGCGGTATTCCAACACAAGGCTGCGGACCAAGACCAAGATCGATGACCTTTCTGATGACTCAGGGCGGACTGTGAGCGATGACACGGGAAAGGCGCAACTCCTGAATGCTTTTTTCAGTAGTATATTCACTGACGAAGATACGACCGAGATCCCGGAACCGACAACCAACTTCTCAGGTCCTCCAATCGAGTCAATCCGCATAACAGCTGAGGCAGTCCGGAACAAGCTTTCCTCTCTCAAAACGGACAGCACTCCCGGTCCCGATGGTTTGCACCCCAAGCTTCTGCAGTTGGCGTCTCAGCCCCTGGCTGGTCCATTGGCTTCCCTGTTTGAAGCTTCCCTCGACCAAGGAGTCCTTCCAGCCTCATGGAAAACAGCGTCAGTCTTTCCCATACACAAGAAGGGTAACAAGCAGACCCCGGGGAATTACCGGCCCATCAGTCTCACATCAATCCCTTGTAAGGTCATGGAGTCCCTGATCCGCGATGAGCTCATGGACTTTCTGTTCCTCACAAACCAGTTTTCCAGACACCAACACGGATTCCGGCCCAGAAGATCATGCAGTTCACAACTTCTGGAGGTATTGGAGGACTGGTGTAAGATGATCGAGGAAGGTGACTCAGTAGATGTGGTGTACCTGGACTTCCGCAAGGCATTCGACGCTGTTCCACACAACCGACTTCTGAGGAAGCTGCGCAGCTACGGTATCTCTGGCAAACTCCTCCGATGGATCGAAGCATTCCTGTCGGGAAGAAACCAGAAAGTCGTTGTCAATGGAAGCCACTCTGATCTGGTTCCTGTCAAGAGTGGAGTTCCTCAGGGTTCGGTTCTTGGTCCCCTCTTGTTCCTGCTGTACGTCAATGACATCCCATCTGCCGTTAAATGTACATCCAAGATGTTCGCCGACGACACTAAGGTCTACAGCGGCGTATCCAGGCAGAACGGCAAAGATGGCCAGGATGTTGTAACTGAGGCCGTGGGGCTGGCTGTCGCTCGTCCCCGAGCTGTCAGTGACCACCCTACTCGACCAGTGCAACCTGTTGGCGGTGGGCAGAACCAGAGCGGCAGACATGCCCAACTCGTGGCAGCTGGGGTTGGGCTTGGAGGGTTGGCTGTCGCTCAACCCAGAGCTGTCAGTGACCACCCTACTCGACCAACGCAGCCTGCCGATGGAGGACTGAACCAGAGTGACAGAGATGACCATCTCGAGGCAGCTGAGGTTGGAGGGCTGGCTGTCGCTCAACCCAGAGCTGTCAGTGACCACCCTACTCAACCAATGCAGCCTGTTGATGGAAGACAGACCGCTACTCGACCTCAAACCTCCCTACTGGCTGATGGAGCAGCGACTACATCGGGAGCGCTAGCCCTCCAAGCTGATATTGATGCACTTGTGGCATGGTCTGACAAATGGCAGCTCCCGTTCAATGAAGAGAAGTGTAAGGTTCTGCATCTGGGTACAAATAATCCCAAACTCCGATACACGATGCGAGGAGTGTGTCTGGAAGAGACTGAATCTGAACGGGACCTTGGCATTCTGGTAGATTCCTCCCTAAAATTCCGGAGGCAAGCATCCGCAGCCGTGGCAAAGGCCAACCAGATCTTAGCAGTGATCAGGCGGTCGTTCGAATTGATTGATGAGTGTACTCTTCCCCTGCTATACAAGACTCTCGTTCGCCCTCACCTGGAGTACGGCAATGTGGCTTGGGGCCCATTCAATCGAGCTGATCAACTTCTAATCGAACGAGTCCAAAGAAGGGCAACCCGCCTGGTAGCCTCTCTCAGACACCGCCGGTACGAGGAACGACTGGAGGCACTGAAACTGCCATCGCTGTTTTATCGGCGACGCCGAGGAGACATGATCCAGGTGTACCAAATCTTTCATGGAGGGGTTGATCTGGCTCCAGAAGAGTTCTTTACTGCCGCTGCATCCGACCGCACCCGAGGCCATCCATGGAAAATCGCAAAACCCAGAGCTGAGTCAAGACCAAGGAGACAGGCTTTCAGTGCCCGGGTGGTCAATGACTGGAACGGCCTGCCCATGTCAGTTGTTGGCGCCGGCTCTGTTGAGCAGTTCAAATCCGAACTCGACGCCCACTGGGCAAACTTCAGGTACCTGGTACCTGACTGGAGATAGTCAAGTCTCAAAGGATTCGAGCTCGATGAGAACGGTTCCCTACAGGCCAAGTGGCCTTCAAAATTCCGATCAAATTAAGGTAAGGTAAGGTAAGGTAATCAGCAGCCCGTCGCCCTCCTACACGGCCCTCACCACCGCCCTGCGAGACCGTCTGGCCCAGTCACGAGCATCAAGACTGGAGGCGCTCCTCCGCCACCAGCAGCTGGGAGACCAGCGGCCGTCCGAGCTCCTACGCCGCATGCAAGGGGAGCTGGCCATGGCAGGGGTAGCTCCTGCTGACAATGGGCTACTGAGGACGCTGTATAAGCAGCGCCTCCCCCAGTCAGCCCGTGCCGCGCTCTCCCTGCTGCCAGAAGATATCCCGCTTGCTGACCTGGCTAGTGCAGCAGACAGATTTATGGAGGCAAATGCTGCTGCCGCTCCAG